AAGCTTTATGGAGGCAGCGCATCAGGTTGTAGAAGTCGAAGACTTTTTGGTGTATAGATAACGGTAATGGTGAAGGTGAGGGATGGTGGGACTGGGGATTGTAATCATGCTCCCACCATCATATTTTTGGGGGGATGATTTTGCAATTTACCATTGATTATGACCTGATCTCTATTATTGCATTGTTAGATTAACTCGATTCTCTAATCATGTTTTCCAAAAAACATATAATATCCCCCTTCTCTTTCGCCCTTTGCCTCTCTTTTTCTCTTCAATGTGCGGATTATCCTAAGGGGTCGTTTGGATGGATCAATTGTAAAACGAGACAATTTGACCAATTGTTTCATTTTACAAAACGAGTCATTTAAAACGAGTCAATTCAGATTACCTGCCCCCACCCCAGACAATTGTAATTGGCTCAAAATGAGTCAATTCAGAATTCCCCAGCCCAAATTGTTTCATCCAAATTTTCTGCTGCCAAACAGATCAATCTAGCACAATTGACTCAAAACGAGACAATCATGTCAGATTGATCCATTAGAATTCCTCATCCAAACGACCCCTAAGTGATATGTTAACGAATAGCAATAGGGTACAAGTTTATACTATTCTAGTTAATTAGTCATTAAACTGTCAATTGAACGATCGTAAGATGCAAAAGATGAATGAGAACGACGTATTTGCATTGTGTTCCATGTATATTGAATCAATTTAACGATTGATCGAGCAAGATCGAAGCACACATACTTTCAACCTCCCTCTCCTCTCATTAAATTAACCTGTTAACCCAAAGCGGTAAGAGGAAAAAGCGTGTTTTTCCTTTTTTATGTCGTCATTGGCGCCAAGCGGAGCTGAACTGGACGAAGGCACAGAGTTTTGACACAATCTTAACGTTGTTACTTTGTTGTAATTTAATCAATTTTTAATTAGTAATAAAAAATAAAACGGTCCCCGGTTCATGAATTAAACAACGCTGGTTTCACTGCAACGCACAAATTTTCGCGTCTTTGCTTCTTGTTATACCTTGGCTAGCTAAGCGACAGGTGGGATAACTGGCGCCGGGATTTTCGGGCGGTCTTTGTTTCCCCGGCGGAAGTCAAATGGTTAGGTAGTGGGCCGGGCTTGGCCCGCAAACCACAATCAATCCGCCCTGCCCTGAGCGATGAAGGAAAGGAAGAGAGGATTTATCTGATTTATCAACTCTACTGCGACTTTGTAATGACCCGACCGAATTAACAGCTTATTGTCTTGTCCCATGGCGTTGGAAGAAAATAATGGCTTTGATCATCAGTCATCATGATTATCAATATTCAAGAGTCGCTGAACCAATAAAATCTGAGCAAGCATTTTTGTAAAATCAACTGCCACAAATATAAGTATGTAGTCGGCTAGTCGTTGTTTATCAAAACAATTGGCTAGTCGACTAGCCAATTCGTAATATATCATTTTGACGAGTTTTTAATTAATAAGTTGAAATCGAAGAATAACATAAATGCTAACTCTAGAAAGGACGGATTGAAATTCACTAAAATCTCCTTACCCTTACATATTTTGGAAATGAACTATTATGTAATATGATTGCAATATCAAATTAATAGTTAATAATGTTGTATTGAAATTAATTACTTATTGCTTGTTAACTCAGAAACGTACAGGTTGTCGAAAACTAAACATCCTTCACAAATATTCTGACATAATTTCCCTTCACTGTACGGGTTAATTCCCAAAATAATGTTTTTTTTATTTACCACCAATATGGTGGTTTTAAATATAATGACACAAATATTGTGTTTTCATGGGCAAACATACACGGGCTTGCATGAGTCTCAATTTTAGTAGTTTGAAATGCGGATCCAAAATGGACTTGGGCGGACCCGCAGCAGACTCATGCGAGTTCGCATAAGAGTGGAAGAAACGAACCAGACTCACGTGGGTTAGCATAAAAGAAACCCCGAGTCTTATCTTCTTCTCCACCCCACCCCTTCCGCAGCGACGCATCCCTCCTCTCACCAGAAACCCACCATCGCCCAACCCCCATCGCCGACCGCCACAAAACCGATCAATCCACCGCGGGCTCGCCCCGGACTCGTGCGGAGACGACCGAGAGTCACGCGGAAGCGCAGGAGTGAAGAGCGGCCGAACAAAACCAGATCTGGGTGTTTCTGGTTTTGATGTCGGACTCCGATGAAGAACAGGTGGCCGCCGGAGGAAGAGGCCGTGGAAGAGGACAGTTAGCACGCGGACGATACCGAGATGAGCGATTCATCCACCGAAAAGTCGCCGCCGGCCACCGGGAAGTCGCCGCCGGCCACCCGAATGTCGTCGCCGGCGACCGGAACTCGCTGCCGGCGGGTTTTTCTTTTCTGTTTCTAATTTTTTTTTTTTTTTGCAGTTCCTAGGATTCTTGACAGGCATTCCACGAGACGACCACCTGCGACGATAGATACAACTCCGGTCGATTCAGTACTCCTTTAGGCACATGGTCAACATCGTGCCGACTCAGTTTGGATTAACGAGGTAAGTATTTTATGTATTTTATTTCATTAAAGTTCATTAGCTAGTTAGATTAGAATTTTGTGAAATTAGTATTAGTTTGATTAGATATATTTTACTAAATTAGATTGATTTTACAATATGTTCTGAAAATAGAATTACGCCATGAAATTTATTTAATATAAGTTTTGTACACTGTAGGCTGGTGATCATGTTTACCAGACTCGAGGTACGACCAAATTGGTCACGTACCATCCACGTTATGAGTCGTATCTCCAGGATGCCGGTTTGTTTAGCGTTCGGCAGTTGGTCCCTATGACTGGTTGTATAGATGCATCTTACCTAGCCATCTTTGCAGCAACCAGTAGAGCTCCTCCCTCTCATTTTCGTAGAAGTTTTTGGGGTAATTGAGAAATCTGATGTTTGAACTTATAATGAGCCTAAATATAGCCAATATAATTTTTGTCAACAATGTTTTTCGTAGATGAATATCTACAGTATTTATGTGTAGTTTTTCAATGTGAAAATTATTGTGTTCAAACTCGAATGATATTTTTATCTTCTAAATAGGTTATCCATTCAAAAAAAAATTTCGTTGAATCAGTTGCTTTTATTCCAAGAAGAACCGATACAACGAGACGAGAAAGAATCTCGCGCAGAACTACAATTCCAACTTCTACCAGTAACTATAAAAACTAGCTAATTACCAACACTGAAGTGCCTTTCTATAGGTATCCTATCTCAACTAATGTATCTCTAATTCCTCTATTTCCAGAAGCAATAAACTGCAGATCATCTCGAACCAAGTCAGCAACCTGAGCAGGGGTACGACGTTGAACTCCATGGACCACTCCACAACGTTCCTTCCATATAAAAGTCAAAAGCATACACCAAACCAGGGCATGCCATTCTCTTGTTCTAGCACTCCCTATCTGTGTCAATGCATTTACCATCGCCTCCCAATTCGGGTGAAGTAGAAGGTTGCACTTCAAATCCTCAGTAAGACACCTCGAATATGAGCAGTGAACAAAGAGGTGCTCTCTGTTTTCAATTGATAATTCGCAGAGTGGGCATGGAGCATCTTTGATTTTGCCCCACTTCTGCAACTTATCTCTTGTAATGATAGCCTTCTTTAAAATCAACCAAACAATCATACTAAAGCGAGGTGGGCAATTCCTGCCCCAGACAAGCTTATACCAAGTAACCTTGGGAGCCTTATTTCTCAAGGTTTCCCAGACTCTGCGAATGGAATAAACCATCATTTCCTTCGAATCCCAATAGACTTTGCCATTCTGCTTCTTCATCCAGGGTGAGATCACAGCTCTCAGCTTCAGAAGCTTCCTCCAGGGCCAAGAACTACTGTATTGCACCCGAAAAGACCAAAGATCCTGCTGTCTGCATTTGTATTCATTCATCCACGCCACCCAAAGTGTTCCAGAGTTCATAACCTGCTTAGGCAGTGAGATATACTTCCAGTCAACCTTTGCCCTACCTTCATCAGTACCATGCCATAAAAACTGTGAACAGATTTTTTGAATCCTCTTCATTGCTTGCTTAGGCAAAACAAATAATTGCATCCAATATTGAACAATGCCGAGTAACACAGAATTCAATAGCTGGAGTCTCCCAGCATAAGTGAGCTTTTTAGCCCTCCACGATCTGATGCGTTTTGTAATTTTGTCTACCAGTATATCCATTCAAATTTTGTTTGGTGCCATGTAAGTAATATTTCTATAGTGCTTGCGATTGTGTTCTAACTACTTCATAAGGACGCAATGATAATTTTATAAATAAGATATCACGCGTTTATCCAACAAGTATGAGGTATACAACTTCCATCAAACAGTTAAGCGTGTTATACGAGCGCACTTGTAGATTGTATTATTGGAAGTATCATAATTAACTATTTCTAAAATTGGGTAGAAATTTTGAGATCATTTCAATGTCGCACATAAAATTTCAGCAAATAGAAAAATATCACTGCGGGATATACGAGGATGGCTCCCGCAGGACTGGCAAGTCCGAATTGTGCATGTCTATAAAGAGGCGAACGTCGTTGCTGATTACCTCGCTAATTTAGAATACTCTTGCCCAATGGGGTCTCAGATTATTGCAGCACCCGGTGCTGCTCTCTCATATTGGTTGTACCACGACATTATTAAGGTTCAAGCAACTCGTTCCGTTATTGAATAAAAGTTGAGGCCCTCTTTGATAGCTCCATTTCTCTAAAAAGGAAAAGAAAATCTCTAAATTTACGAAAATATTTGGAAGCAAAAAGAAAAAAAAAGGAAATCGTTGTTAATTTTAGTGGGTCCCACCAAAATTGCCAGCACATAGAAGCGAAACCGTTTTCCAAAATGACGAAATCAGACGGAGGTGATTTAGCGCGCCCCAACGCCTCACTCGCGCGCCGAACGGAGGATTAATACGGCGCGTTTAATCCACCACGTCAGCTCCAAGCCTTCAACAACACCAGCGCATATAAACAAAAAAACGAAAAAACAGATGAAGAAAAAAATTAAATAAGGAAGAAGAAACAGAGAGGAAAAAGAGAGCAAGAAAGAACAGCTCCAATTGCGCTCATATTATTGTTTTGTTGTTAAATGTAACGATCTCTCTCTCTCTCTCTCTCTTCCCTCCCCTCTCTCTCTCTTTGTCAATTGCGTTTCTTCGTTTCACAATGGAATTTCTGCAGAACGCTGGGATCCGCGTTTCTCGATCGCAGCAGCAGCAATATCTTCACCAAATTCTCCTCCATATGCTCTAACAACCTCTCTTCCGCCATAGCCAGCCACCATTACTCCTCTTCCCCTTCCATTCCTTTCCACCGCCCTTCAGCAATCGCTGCTGAAGCTATACGCTCGTTCCTGATTCCTTTCCGCTTCTCTCGCCGCTGCGCCGTCTGCCGGATTCCAAAACCCTCAGGTCCGGCTCCGGTTTGAGGAGCATTATCCTCCAGATTCGGCCTCGGTTCTCTGTAAGTGCCTTGAGATTTGCTCTACATTGATCTGAAATGTAACGCTTCTCTTCTCTTCTCCGTTTCCTCCTTCGAATCGCTGTTTTCTGAACAGTCTCTCGTTTCCAATTGTATCTCCGTTTTAATTATTCGCTTGTACGGAAGATCTCCGGCGTTTTTTTTTGTCGTTGTATGAGCCGGCCGCGGCCAAGATATGGCATCTCGTTGTTGCAAACGTTTTATGTTTTTCCCCTTTCCCTCTCCCTCTTTTTGATCGTACTACGTGGCTTTTTGCGATTAGGAGGCTGAAATGCGGAATCGGTTTTTCCCTTTGTTGATTTTAGTTTTCTTGGTGTCTTCGTTTGCAGTGGAGAGAAACAATTGAGATTGCGGCCGTCGAGGATTTTCGTCGTTGTTTTGTTCTTCGGAGTTTCTGAAATGTCAACCACGAGGGAGCATCACACGGTGCCGCTCTCGGTGCTTCTAAAGCGGGAATTGGCTACCGAGAAGGTAGAGAAGCCTGAGCTTGTCCACGGACAGGCCAACCAGAGCAAGAAAGGGGAAGATTTCACTTTCGTCAAAACTGAATGCCAGAGGATCCTTGGCGATGGCGTTACTACTTACTCAGTTTTTGGGGTAAATTTCTTTTGCTTTCATGATCCAGCTTTACTTGGGTGCAGCTTTTGATCGATCTCAAGCTTTGTTATCAAGTCTTCCCTACTGAATCCTATTTTGTTGTTTGCAGTTATTTGATGGTCACAATGGCTGTGCAGCAGCGATTTACACTAAGGAGAATCTTCTAAACAACGTTATATCCGCTATTCCTCAAGACCTTAACCGAGAGGAATGGCTAGCGGCACTTCCCAGGGCATTGGTTGCAGGATTTGTCAAGACAGATAAAGAGTTTCAAGTTCGAGGTATGAATATGATGAATCCTGCTGTCCGATTGACGTTTAAAGCCTGTCACACTATCCTATTTAGGACTGAAATGCACTTTTCGGTTTGGAATGTCTAGCCTGTATGGTCAACTATGGATATTGTGATCGATATCCATGCTCATGGTGATCTCATTTATAATGGAGTTGGTAGCTGAAAATTTTTTGGTCTCCCACTTTTCAGGACAACCATCTGGTACTACTGTCACATTTGTGATTATTGAAGGATGGGTTGTAACTGTAGCATCCGTCGGAGATTCGCGTTGTATACTTGAATCTGCTGAAGGTGATCTCTACTACTTGTCAGCAGATCACAGGCTAGATTGCAATGAAGAGGAGTATGTGTGACTTGTTTATTTGGGTTTTTTTTATTCGACAGCCTTATGGATCAATCACCCTTCTAACAATTGTTTTCTTCTCACTTTTCCTTTCTTAGGAGGAATCGTATTACAGCAAGTGGTGGTGAGGTTGGGCGCCTGAATACTGGTGGTGGTGCAGAGGTATCTTTTTCTTTTTCCCTCTTTGCAACTCTTCTTCCTGTCATACTTTTTGCTATTGTTTAACGAGAATACTTTGATTGGTTTAATACTGTGTTGATTATTGCTCGTTTACATCAATTGCCACTCTAAGATAAGATGCCCATTATCACTTAAAAATGGAAAGTAGATATAGTTTTGGATGGATATGGATTGATACTATATGTGCCCGTATAAAATTGTACTTGACTGGACTGTTTGCTCCAAACTGATCTAACTTGTATAACACTGTTTGCTGTAGATTGGTCCGTTGAGATGTTGGCCTGGTGGCTTGTGTCTCTCACGGTCCATTGGAGATCTGGACGTTGGCGAGTATATTGTTCCTGTTCCTTACGTGAAGCAAGTCAAGGTTTGTGCCTCTTCTTCTTTTCCATCTTCAGTTAATTTTCTTATGCATCTCTCTGATTCACTATCTATGAATTTTACCCTCTACTATGGGCCTCAGCCTTCAGCATTTCTGGCAAGCGTTTTACCACCTTTATCATAACACCATCTGTGTACTTGTATTCAGCGTATTCTGTAGAAGAGTTAACTAAGATGGACTTGGTGATTTTTAGATCGGAAATATTGATGAAGCTACTACTATGAATCGTCCAATTCTCTGTTATAAAACAACTTGACCAATGATAGTTCAGTGAAGGTATGGGCTGAATCTGCATGAGATTTGTCTCCTTCTAACGAATCTTTTGGTTGTTTCTCTGCAGTTGTCTACTGGTGGTGGTAGGCTTATCATCGCAAGTGATGGAGTTTGGGATGCTGTGTCTGCCGAAACGGCTCTTGACTGTTGCCGTGGAATGCCCCCTGATGCTGCAGCATCACAAATCGTTAAAGTATGTGGAAAATTTTACATTTTGCTGTCTGCTGTTTTATTCTAGGTTTATGACATGCTTTGATAATGCCTGAAATATATCCGTGTTCTTCCACTAATAACTGGATCATTCCATTTTGTTTTAATTTTGCAGGAAGCCGTGCATCCCAAGGGTATCAGAGATGACACTACCTGCATTGTTGTTGACATGCTTCCAGTGGAGAAGCCAGCCGTCCCTCACCCAGTGCCTAGGAAACAACAAGTCAAAGGAGTGTTGAGATCTATGTTCAGAAAGAAGTCTTCTGAATCATCTTCTCATCCCGACAAAGAATACGTTGAGCCGGATGTCGTTGAGGAGATGTTCGAGGAAGGCTCTGCTATGCTTTCAGAAAGGTTTGTTCTGTCTGTCAGATAATCATCACTCTTGGGCTCACTATGGTAATTTCAGAGACTCTTGGTATGCTGACACCTGAGGTGTTGGTTTAATGTTGGTCGGTGGTTGCAGGTTAGACACAAAGTACCCGCTGTGCAACATGTTCAAGTTGTTCATGTGTGCGGTGTGTCAGGTAGAGATTAGACCTGATGAAGGAGTATCGATACATGCCGGGTCAGGTAACATGAGAAGGCTACGCCCCTGGGATGGCCCTTTCCTTTGTGTCAGTTGCCAAGAGAAGAAAGAAGCAATGGAAGGGAAAAGATCATCTGGAGGTTTGCTTTACTTTCCCCCCCCTGTTCAAGTGTGAATTGGTTTAACAGGCTCGCTTTTACCAACTCGGTATCTTTGAACTTGTACAGATAGACACAGTAGCGAAAGTGACTGAGCGAGCCAGTCAGGCTCCTTCAACTATAGACGACGATGATGATGATGCATCTCAGCGAGCACTAACAATTGTTTCAGAAGTTTAATGTAAATGAAAAAAAGACAACTTATCTTGGGACGTTACTTCAATTAAAATCCGACGGCAGAATCTTTTGGAACCCCATGCTTTGCTCTGAAGACAAGGACGATGAAAGAAGATGAGAAGAACTTGTTATAGCTGCTGCTGCTGCTGCTTACCAGTGACATACGTATGTTTATCTAACTTGAAGACTTGATGGTTGATCCTCTTAGTTTGTGCTCGCCCTCCCTCCAAGACTCCGAACGAAAAGCTTGATCGTGCCAAATGCTTAGCAGCAGCAGCAGGGATGCATCCAATCAAAGAGCGGTCAGTCGTCGTTTTCCCCATTCTCCGATCATTATTTTCATTATTTCTTTCTTCTTTTCTTTATTTCTTCTGTACTTGAATCCACAATATTCTTCTCCAAAAGTCACAAAGCTAACATCGGAACAACAACGGTAGCAGCAATGTCCAAATATTAATAATTTCTTAGGCACTTAATGACAGCAAGTATTCTTCTTCGTTTTCTTCTTCTTCGTCCACATTAGACGGTAAGAGAGAGAGAGACAATTGGCAATGGGGGAATGAGAGAAACAATGTGTAGCTGCGATCTTGTTACAAGAGCGGAACGAATTCTTTGATGTGGTTGTAGCTGTAATCAATCTTGTTCCATATATGTCCATAGAAAGATGTGCCTGGTGAACTCTGTTATACATATAGACAGCAGAAAGATTTGCTTCCAAACTAGATACTTGCTCAGTTAAATTCTTTTATATATTATTTCTAAAATAGCAAGATCAATAAGCTCAATGAATATTGTCTTTGCTTCAACATGATTGTACTTCAAGACAACGGTTAATATTGAGAGTCGTGAAGATTTAAACACATAATTTACAAATCAGTTATGACACTATATTATAAATTAATTAGAGTTGTTGGAATAACTTGGTGTATGATACTTACAAATTGCATGGATGTGGTTTTGGTCGCCGATGGACAATTAGAATAATAATGGTATAATGATGATGAAAAGTCATCAATCAGTGTTTTACATTTTGGATTGGATAGAGTGGCAGTAAAGGGCAAAAGTGGATTGAGAGTTGGAGGGAGCGAAAGAGGGTGAGGAAGTTGGAAGTCATTCCCGCACATGGTTGGTTGGGACCATGACGATGACAAATGTAGGCTGACTGGCTGGCTGGGATGTTCGTTTGTGGCCGACTTACGCGTTTGTTGTGTTACATGTGCTCTTCTGCTGAGAGATAGATCTCTCATCTCATCTCCCTCCCTAGGAAGAGAACAAAAGGAACAGAGATATCCGTCGCACAAAGCAATGGATCAATCAAGCATGTGGACTCATTAGCTGTTCAAGCTTTGATGTTTTCTCCGAGCCGCAGAGATCAATCCGAACTAACTCTGCTTCGCCTTGCGCAATTCCCACGCCCTTTAATAAGAATGTTAATAATAGGCCGACTCGTTAGGTAATTTGATTCGATTGTCATATGATTTATGAAAACTCGAACGAACAAGTACGCGAAAGCATTAAAGAGATTTTGACTCGGTGTTTATATGGTATCCCCTATTGATCTGGACCGGTTCATATGAGAGATCAGCCTCTCCAGCTTCTTATCTTATTGACCTTCACACCTAGCCGAATGGTAGTACATGATTACATTTATATCTTGCGCTAGTCGCTAGAACTTGGGCTGTGGATGAGATGGGCTCGGACTTGGGCTCAACAGGTGACATGGACTCGGACTTAGGCTCAATGGGTGACTCGCCTCGGTCCAATAATCCATATGAGTATTGGGTTAATCCAAATAGACTCATATGTATTTTTAATGATTTTGAGTTTGAGTTGGATTTGAGTTGAGTTCAATTTAGGTAAATCCTTTTGGATCTGACTCAAATGCATCTATTTGAGCCTACAATTGTACATATACAAAGATAATGTAGACCATCTCATTAACTATCTTCAAACCAATTATACTTTTAATGTTGATGTTCTCACCATTATTAAAAAAAGACAAAAAAGACAAAAGTTGCATTAAAATTGGGTAATGAGTATCCATATTTTTTTAATATCCAACACTACGAGTCAAAGTCAAAGTCAAACCGAAAAGTTGGATATAGATATATACCTCAAAAGCAAAATTACCAAGACCTTTAAATCATATCAACGGGTCGTTTGGATGCATTATTTTGGTTCTATAGTATTTCGAATCCAAATGATGCATTATTTTGCTATGTGGCATTTCATGTGGTATTTCATTTTGAAATGTGGTAATTGGTGTAATTGTATTGTTTGGATAAAATATTCAAATATTGTGGTATTTCACCACTTAAAGAAGAGATGAAGTAGAAAAAGAAGTTGGGAGATGAGGTATTTGAAATAACTAGAGGGTGTCTAGGTATTTCAAATAACTCACAATGAGTTATTTCAATTGACTCATGGACAAAATACCACATTCTACTTTATTTTTGTCAAACGAATTATTTTGATTGAAATACCTCATTCTGAGTTATTTCGACCAAATTACCTCATCGAAATACTGCATCCAAACGACCCGCAAATGAATTTGGACAATACTCAAATGCATGTGTTTTGCGCAATTGTGATTACTATCACAATAGATGATAGAGCTTAACGCGAGAGCGGTCCAAGTTAGCGATATCTAGCTGTGGCTGTGGCTTTGCAGGGGAGCGTCTCCATCTTTTCTAATCAGATCTACTGATCTTGCCTGCCTCTAATTGAAATGCTATGGCATGGGAAAGTCGCAATAATGTTGTTTTCCTTCCCATGCACAGCCTTCATCGTCAATTTCAAGCACACCTATCATCAAATAGCGGTTCAACCTCACCTAGTGGCATAGGCAGAGGAGACCCATTGGGCCTTGTTCCAGGACAGGGGTAAATTTCGGAGAAATAAATATGTCATATATATGTATATTGGTGATGCAAAACAACGCCTATAGGTAGTATTAAAGTATTTTTGTCACTACAACACAACTCATTACTTATTCATAAATTGACATAAAATTAATGTATTATACTATAAACGAATTCTAATTGCAATAAAGACCTAATCGGATCTCTTTTCTCCTTATGTATATTCGATTTTTCCCCAACAACCCTGAAATTGTCTAGCGACAACGACAATTCCACTAGTTTTGATTTTACGAATTACAACTGCAAATGTACAAAAAAAGCATTTTCAGCTTTGAGTTATGTTAAGAACAAGTTTCCAAGTCGATTTGGCGACCAATTTGCTAATGCTAATTTAGTGAGATACATTGAAAAAGACTTATTTAATAGTGTAGACGACGAATGTTTTTGCGTTTCTTACAAGATGAAATCTCTCCGTGATTGTTAAAAACAATGATTGTATAGTCGGTTATTTTTAATCTATGAATGAATTATGCAGATATAATTAATGTTAATTATTTTTTTAAATTATTTTTAATTAAATATTTATATTTTGAAAAGAGGACATGGGTGGTTTGAAATGCTGGCTCCGCCACTGCCTAGTGGCTTCGGCTCCAACACTGCAGCCACTCCGTGCTACTTACTTGAATTCCGGGTTTCAGATTGCAGTCGATGGAGCTACGTCCAACCCAACTCATGGTGCGGTGGGTCTTATTGGGTTTTTTGGAGGACATGCTATTTTTGGTTTTCGGTGCTCTATCCTAGGGATGGTGGATGCCACTATAGTGGAACTTTTGGCGGTCTTTTATGCTTTGCTACTTATTTGCCGTTGGGGATGGCGTGATCGGCCAGTTCTTCTTACCGGCGATGCTCAAGTAATGTTGGAGAGGTTGGGATCCCGCAATCCTCATGATGCTCGGTGTGACGCCATTTTTCGTGAAGTGCTAGATATCATTGGTCATCTTCCCTTGGTTCATTTTGCTTACACACATCGAGAGCGAATCGGGCTGTCCATTATGTGGCACGTAATGCCTACGCTATCTTGGTATTCATAATGTCTTATATAACTATTCGTACATGGTCTGTCATTGAGTCCATGTAAGGGCCGTAATTGTTGTGGTTACACACACGTATCTGGTTAATCCGGAATGATTTCTATAGAAAAAAAAAATTTGCTATGGTATGGGACCGAATTAGGGATAAAAAAAGTGGATTATGATAAATGGACAACTTGGGTCTGGGGAGGCCCATTTAAACAGAAGGTGTGGGGAAGGGAAACATGCAAACGATGTGGCCACGGGTTGTAACTTGTTATTTGGCCTATATATATAGTCGGCAGCTTGGCCGACTGGATGAGAGGCGAGAATCAAAGATAGCGAGAAGAGAGGCTTGAAATATGGTTGTGACAATCGGGTTCAATTGGTATTGGGAGCGGTAATCAAATTCGATACAAAATATAATTAACATTAAAAAATAGTGTTCGACTAGACTTTTTTATATTATTTTTAAACAAAATAGCATCGATTTGATGGAATTAAATAACAAAAAGAGAGAAATTTGTCGGATTCAAGTATGAATATTTAGATGTTGATGTTATCAATTGGATTCAAAGATAAATATTTGGAGTTTGAATGATGTCATTTTGTTTGTAATGTAGTGTTTTATTTATATATGGATGGAGACTAATTTTTTATTTATTTATTAAATGGAGGCTAAACAAAACAGCCGAGAGAGTTACAAGGGATAAACTAATATATTTTGTTAATGGTGTTAATGGTTTTTCGTTTCCTCATATATTTTGTTAAGAAAGGCATAAACTAATATATAAATTGATGGTACCTCAATTAGACCATACAACTAGCTAAACGGTAGTAACAAAAATTGGTTTAACACCAATAGAGATTAGAGGCACAAATCCATCGATTGTATATCATCTTTGAATGCCTCCTAAATCTTCGGTCTCGTTACATCGTTTTGAGTAATCATCAATTGGGCATAAATTATTTTGAAAGTTACTAACCATTAGCTCTAAGCGATTTTCAGATGTCAGAAAGTTAATTTAGTTAGTTAAGTCCATTTCTTTACTGTGGATGCTGTCAAATTAATTTGATGATTTTTAGAGTTTGAAAGAAAGAATAAAAGGGGAAGGGGGGTATAGACGAGGAAATAATGACTCCATGATTGTGAATTTATGATGTTGACTTTAACTAATCCAAACAAAAATTCCTCTTCGTTCCTTGTCGTGTCACTTTGCTGTTACACGTGCGTCTGGGCCTACCCCAAACCAGAAAATTGGCCCTGTTTACTTTCATTTCTGTTTTCTGTTTTTGAGAAAACAGATGTTGAAAACAGGCGAAAACGACATTTTTTCGTTTTTGAAAATAGTAGGAAGCTGCCACTTTCTGTTTTCAGAGTTGGAAACGAATAGAAAACAGAATAAAAAGTAAACATGTTTTCTCGTTTCGTTTGTCAAATTTATGACATGAAAACAGAAAACTGGAAACGAAAATGGAAGTGAACAGGGCCTTAGCAGCCCAGCCCAGCCCATCCCCACCTCTCTCTCCCAATTACCCTCATAAATTCACAACATATAATTTAAAAAAAAAAAAAACTACATGTACATCTCTACACATATTATAATACACCTAAGGGAAAAACGGGAGTCTCATTTCAAATTTCCTGCAACGAGAGTGAAAGTAAGAAGAATATTTTAGTCTTCACAATTACTATTTTTTATTCATTAAAAATTACACGTACATTTCATTAAAAAAACCAAAACTACAGGTACATTTTGATAGAAAACGATAAGCTTAAAATGCATCGCAATCGTTGTACTTTCATGAAACAAGGTGATTAAATCTGAAGTTTTTCAAAGTGCAACAAAGTGAATGAAATATGTATGCTTCCAACGATAATGAGTGTCTTGATGAGACTAGATAATTAACCACAAAATTGATATCTCTATAAACATGTCCCCATATGATAGGGCAAAGTTGTGTCATAAGTTGTCAAACCTTTGTGATATCTGCAGAATGGGATGGTTGGATGTGGCATTCATTCTCAATGATGTGTTTGGCTAGTTAGTAAACTTTCCTAACACCTAGCTCCAAGGGAGGAAGATTGATGAAAGTAGCCATAACAAGGAGGAAGAAGAGGAAAGAAATAGCAAGGCTTGGGAAAAAGCTTAAGGAGAGGACTATATAACTCAAAATTAATGCAGAGCCCATCGAGAAGCAAATATGGTGGCTAATAACTAGGGCTGGATATTTGGTACGAGCTATTTGATTTTAGTCGAAACTGGAATGTATAATCCGGATCGGAACCGGATAGCAAACAATCCAATCCAATTTTCGGGCTTAGATTTGAGGTAAAAAAACTGTTTGGGACCAGATCGAAAACTGGATAAGAGAGCCCAACACCCAAAATTTAACTAACTCCTCGCCTTTTGAGTCCTCCGGCCACTCAAATCCCCACAAGTCAATCTAATATCAAAACCGAATTGGGACCGGACCGGATCAAGACCAGACTATATCCAATCTAATCTTTGGCCCTTATATTCCCGAAAAGACCGAACGGGGACCAGATCAATTCGTGTCAATTTAACCGGACCGGACCGTATAGTCACACCTACTCATAACCTTGCCTATTTTCCTATTGCTTTTACATATTGCAATAGTTTGACGGAAGAATACCTTCGGGAGATTTTGGATAATATATTGTCCGATTTGAGTTGTTTGGCTGATTAATAAATTGCGTAGTCCTCTACTCCCTCCTTTCCTGAAAAAATATTATAGTAGTAAAGGAATTTTCGTTCCATATGTTTTTGCCAATGAAAGTTACAAAGGAGCAAAGCCAAGTCGCTATAGCTAGAAGGTGGGGGTTGTAGTTAATGATGCCAAGACGTTAATGAAAGAGGCTCGTCATTAAAACAAAAGCGGTCTGCCTGCAACTCCCATCACTTTCCCTCATTTCCTTGGCCTTTTTAGCAACATAATTATGTATCATACCAGTGAGGCAACAATGACCAAACCACGATCACAATTATGCCGGTAGAATTTTCTTCCGAGGTATTTATTGGCCCGTTTTCATTCAAATCTTTCATGAATGCACTTCCAAAGTTCTTTTTGGAGCTCTTGGCCGATGCTAGTACGATCAACATAAGGATGAAACTTCACAAAATCCACGATGTAGCTTTCGTGTTTGAACTCGTGAATCGCTCGAGTTTGTAACCGAAATGGAATGCTAATTCGGTCAAAGTTTTATTAAAATTTATTTGAAATATGTACATAAAAAATTAAGGAACAATTGACGATCTACTAACGATGTCATTAAAACAAGGTAGTAGTAGGATATAGAGATTACATAAATATTAATGATTACAAACAGATAAATCATCCGAGTCCTAACTAATTGAATGAGATAAAAGTAAAACTCTATAGTAAGGAAAAATCCATTGGTACCGTATGAGTAAAAGTGTAAGACGAAAACCCTAATGCTTAACCAAAAACTAGCACCACACAATCATTAAAACTATCATAAACGTGCAAAGAAATGATTGGTCTAGTGGTAATATTATTGTTCTTGAACCTGATGGTTCCAAATTTGGATATTTTAAATGACATCTAACAAAAAAAAACTATATAACCCCTTATCAAATTAAAAAAAAAACTAATGACATCATAAAGAACTGATTAGTAATTTGAACGTATGACAAAGAGAGGAGAGGGGATGATATAAATGAGTGTCATGTTGGTTAGAGGTTCGAAGATTCCTCTTGAAATTGGTGTTCTATATCCTACACAAGACTGTTAATAGATGGGAGGGAAACTCAAGAACATCATGACACCTCACTCTCTTTTTGCCTTTCACAATGGCCAAGGAAATTAAAATGTTTAACAAGCACACATACCATACATACATTTACCAAATAAGCACAAAGGTAGATGGTCGACCTGGTTTTGCCAATCCAATATGGTTCTTCAAAGTGGGCAAAGTTTGGAGCTTTGTGAGTCCCCATTTCCCAAAACCAGCCACTGCCTTCAATAGCTAGCTAGCTGTTAGATTTTGACATGGACCCACCCCCAAGAAACAAAACACTCTCCTTCCCAAACCCAAAATACATATAATGCTAAATATATCATCTTTCTGGCAGATCCATGGCCACCACACCCTAGAAGATAAGCAAGTTATGGAGCAAGCATTCATCTTTACTACTAATATGTTCACTTTGACAACTTAACTCTCTCTCTCTCTCTCTCTCTCTCCCTCTCTCTCTCCATCCTCTGCTTCTCCTCAGACCATTGCCCCTCAACAGCAAGAAACAAAAGCCCTTTTGCAGAATCCCATAGGCCTCCACTAGAAGGCTAGAAAGAATTTTGCAGCAGTTGAGTCAGTGAGCTAGGTCTTTCCAGTATTCATTACACCATGGATGGTACTCAACTGCTTGGAGACAGCAAAGCAAAAGTTGTGGAGCTAGATACTACTATGAAAGAAGACAAACCAGCAGCAGCAGCAGCAGCAGCAATATCCCCTGCATCACCACCTTCAGCAACTACATCTCCTTCTCATGAATTCTCTTTCACAGTCTCTCTTCATTCTTCCTCAACAGCAACTCTTCCTGCAACCATCGACAACAGCAATAAGTCCTCCAAACCCACAACTCAAAATCCATCCTTTGCCATTGATTTGTCTCCAGCCGATGACATCTTCTTCCACGGTCACTTGCTCCCTCTTCACCTCCTCTCTCACCTTCCTGTCTCTCCTCGCTCATCCACCAATTCAATGGACAGCTTCACCCTCCCCATCAAGGAATTGATGGGTGACCAGATAGCCAGCAACAGAACTAGCACCACAACAAATCCCATAAGCCAGAAAGCCCATAGCACAAACAACATCAGAACCAGGCCAAGCAATCACCATCATGAGAGCATCGAGAGCAGTGAAGCAAAAGGAAGATCAAAGTCCAAGTCATTCTCTTTGTTCGGGTGGAGAAAGAGGTGTGAAGCTAGAGAAAGGGAAGAAGAGAAGGAGAAGCAACAGAAGAAAAGGCTCAAGTTCGATGTTAGTCATATACTGAAGAGGTATGCGAGGATGGTAAGGCATACATTCAGAGGGAGGAAGGAGAATCATCCCCATTTCCAGAGGCAGCCTCGTACATTTTCAGGCCATTTGAGCGTGAGAAACAACAAGCATGAATTGAGAGGAAGGAGGGGTGAATTGTTCTCTGCACCTGCATCAATGAGAACTTCTCCATCTAACAGTGGGGTTCTTTGCACCATTCCTCCTTCTACAAATGACAGCACCATGGAGGAGCTGCAGGCTGCAATTCAAGCTGCAATTGCTCATTGCAAGAATTCCATAGCCACCGAAGAGAAGAATAAATGTTGAATGATGGGAAGTGCAAATTTTCCAGTAGAAGTTCTTTCCCCCATGTTTTCCCATATTGCTTGTCATACCTGTGTATAAATTGGTATATATAATTTATAATATAGAACAGGGATTCTCACTGAGTTCTCAGAGTTAAAGCTGAGTTTTTTAGACGGATTTATTATCACTTTCAAGGATGAATGAATATCTCTTTGCTTTTCTTGTGTCCACATGGCAGCAAAGGGAATGATATTTAGCTTCACAGACAATTCAAATTGATAACTATCAGATGTTCTTCCTAGGATGCCTTTATGGGACACATGTAAATCTTGAACTGAAAGAGAAAAAACCCAGGCATTTTAAGATACGGAACTGTCCGTACTATAAACTGGAGATATGATCTCAACATGAAACGGAAGTGCAATAAAGTTTAGCAGATAGACTAATCATATCAGATTGAATGAAGCTGAATTAAGAGTCCAAGACATAAAGGCTGGAATCATTAATTGATTATTGTCTTATGCTCTATCCTTGGCTGGCTCTAGTCAAGCCAGCAAGGCTGTGTGCCAAGCTTGCTGTACAAATGAGCTGCACCTAGCCAGACATACCTAACATATAAGGCCTAACTCTTCAATCTAGGATCACAGTCTTGAATATCAATTATCATTTTAGGGGCAAAGTAGATCCATTGAGCTTGTTAGAAGTACTGAATATCCTCCAAACAGGTGTATGAGCTGACAAAAAATCACCTTGTTCTGACTATAATCAGATGAAAAGAATCATAATTATGAAGCATAAAAGTCCCCAGTTCAACATGAAATGAAAAGGTGCGACAAGAGAAAAGGAAAACCAACTTCGGTAGGTACCATGTAAAGCAAGAAAATTGCCATGATTGAGCATAAAAAAGGCAGAGGGTCTCCTGAATTGATTGCTTCAAAGTTTAAAAGTTCACAGGAACAACCAACTGGTACCAAAGTACCCACAATCATTCCACAGTCCACAACAATAATGAATGTGTTGTGATTGACATTTTAACCACAAGTTTGCCAGACAAAATTATTTGGCATATACAATAATATAATAACCAGAACTCTGCCCTTCATTACCAGATAAATCAAGTCTTTTGTTTTGTAACTGTGTAGAAAAATCATAAAAAAATCAGAACAAGATTTGTAATGTCCAAATAGCTTTTGGAGGATTGGGGAGGGGGTATAATTTATATGCATCATAGGATGATGAAGCACAGAATGAAGATTGATACGTTGATATGATCTGTGCAATTGACTAATGGGCTAATCCCCTTTTTCTTTCTTTCTTTCTTTCCCCATACTGATACTAACATCCCACTACAAGACTGAAATGAAACCCCACAACCCACATGACAGTGGCTGCTGCCATGCCTTTTGAGCATCAATCCAAAGCAACAAAACACAGACAGGGACAAAAAAAAAAGGGGCACAACAACATCACCAACGAGAAAAGAAAACAACCCCCATATGCACTGTATCCGCACGAGTGGATTCCCTCGGATATGGCTTTCCTTTTTGTAAGATTTCATCTTTGCCCCGTGAAAGTAAATGCGCACAAGGTGTTTGCTTTAATTACCCACCGAAGGGAAAAAAAGCGCCATCGCCCCCCTCAAAAACAGGGGCAAATGGTTGCACTGCTCAAGAAGATACTGATTACCTCGCATGATTGGGTAAGGGTGGTCATAGTTCAACAACATCTTTCGAAGAATCTAATTTAAAGTCTTGCAATTACCCACGAAATAAAGTGATGTTGCGATCGAACCATTGGAAGTTTGAGCATTCAAGAACCGAAATTCAAACGGCATAGGAAATGGGTGGCTTTCAGAGAACGGTACCTTGCAATTTTCCGCATATGGGGCCCCTGGCCGTGGCTGGCTGGCTGAGAGATTGTGGGAAAGACGAAGAGAAGTCCTACTGTGATGCTGGACTGGTGTCCATTTCTTGACGAGTCGACGTGAAAAGCCGAACTGATCGAATGAAATTCAATTTCCCGTAGCGAACTTAAATCGAAAAACGGGAAAAAGTATGTTCATCGGATTGACTAATCAACTCCGGTTGACCCGACCTTCTACACCAAATAGTGACCAAATGCTCAATCAGGGGTGGGGTATGCAGCGGTCTAGAATCGAACAGGACTAGGATAGAACCGGTTCGAATGTTAAGGATAAGAATCAGAGCAAAAGTGTATTTCATCCAAGGTTGTCAAACCGGTTTATGCCAGTATGCCGGTTTAGCAAGTGGAATGGTTCAACCGGTGGCACATACCGGTTTGTGCCGGTTCATGCCGGTCAATATTACAAATAAAATTATAAATACTCACATTTAAACATGACATTTAACGTCAATACCTAAACATTTATATTTGAATTCAACAAATAACATCAATATTTAACTTTTATACTCATAAAATAAATAATAAAATAATTTTTATCAATTAAATTCTCTAAAATAAGGTCATTTTACTTAGAGATTCGTATATTGATCATGCCGGTCATACCGATGGTGTCACGCCGGTTTTATGATCGGTACCGGTTGAACCAGGTACAACCGGTGGCACGCCGTCTGGCGTGACAACCATGATTTCATCAATCCAAATATCAATTCGATTCTTTTCCTCAAGTAGTCAGAAGTTTGTTTAAACCAGTTTAGATATCTATTTGATTCATAGCTGTAGGGATGTTATTACTATGCAAATGATACAAGTTTTTTCTCTCTCTCGTTTGGATGGATGGATCAATCTAAAAATGAGTCAATTTGATCAATTGTCTTGTTTTATAAACGAGGCAATTAAAAACGAGTCAATTCGAATTACCTGCCCCCACCCCAGGTAATTGAAATTGACTCAAAACGGATCAATTCAAAATACCTCAGGCATATTGATCCATCCAAATTTTTTGCTGGCAAACGAGACAATTTGGTACAATTGTCTCAAAACGAGACAATTGTATCAAATTGATCCGTTACAATTCCTCATCCAAACGACCCCTTTATGAATTTATAATTGGTATAAGTTATGCAGCTCCAATCTATCAAATTATTCAGACATCTAATTTGGTACATATTAGTGGCTAAATTATATGTTTGGTCACTCAAATTATACAAAATTTTCACGTTTGCCACTCGAATTATTTTCCTTTCTTATTGACCACTAGCTTTACGAATCGTTACACAGTTAGTCACCGGCCGTTACACTCCATTAAATTTGTCCTACGTGGACAAACTTTATAGTTGACTAACACGTAGGACAAATTTAACGGAGTGTAATGGCCGATGATTAACTGTGAAACAATTTGTAAAGGTAGTGACCAATAAGAAAGGAAAGTAATTCGGGTGGCAAACGTAAAAATTTTGTATAATTTGAGTGACCAAACATGCAATTTAGCACATATTAGTTGTTGCCTCTATATCTACATCATTTAACATTCATTTTTCGTTGTTGTATATCAGTCTATCCAACCCAATAATTTAGCATACCAGATGTATTGCTATTTTGATTGCGAAATCCATTACACTTACAATTCATCATATTAATGTGAGATCGAACAGAAATTACATCCGCTAGATAAGAAATGTTCTTTAACCGACTGAAAGTTTCAAACATAATACATCTCATAATAAAATGACCTTACATTGACTATAAAAGCCAGCTCAGTACCAGAAAAATATTACCATAATAATAACTTCAGTTATTATGATGATATTATTGAATTGTTCTTCATGTACAATACAACTGATCCAACATCAAAAAAAGTTTGGAGAGACCATTTTACAATGTTGGTAATTGGCCTTTGGGCCTAATGCTCTGCTATATAATTCATAACCAAACTCTCAATGGTCAGCCGTCGGGTTATTTTGCTTCATCTCGTGGTCTGCTCCAAGGGGATCCCTTGTCTCCTCTACTTTTTGTGTTGTGTACAGAAGGATTTACTGCTTTACTCCGACAAGCAAGGTAACAGAGGGTTATTCATGGAGTTCAGATGGAGCCCCAAAGTTCTCCTATCTCGCATCTTTTGTTTGCTGATGATTCATTTATGTTTGTCCGTGATTCTCGAAGTGAGATTGATTCTTTGCTTGCTATTCTTCATGAGTATGAAGGTATCAACGGCCAAAAGATAAATCTCCTCAAGTCGGCAACATGGTTTAGTACAAATGTTTGTCAATTGGATCAGGAGGTTTTTGGTGAGCTTTTGGGTGTTGGTTCGATTGGTTTGCAGGGCCGTTATTTGGGATTGCCTTCTCTTATGGGCCGTTCGAAGATAGAAACTTTTATATTTGTGGAATATCTATATTAGACGGGTGGAAGAATCGTTCTCTATCAACAGCGGCAAAGGAAGTTCTGCTTAAGTCTGTGGCGGCGACTCTTGTAACACCCAGATCCTTTTAAACACACTGAAATACTCATGGCTCCGGAGCCGACCAAAATAATGTTCAAAAACTTCAATAAAAACAAATACAACCAAACCTTTTCCAAAAGAATTTCAAATGAAATGCCCTAAACAGTTGGTCGACCTCAAACCATGGTCAACAAGACCACTCAAACTCAAAACATCGAATCTCCTGTTTATATACTCATGATCATGAACAAAAATAATGAAAATAACTATGACACTAACTCCTCGCTGAGCTCCCCTCGATCTCACCCACTCTGGGGCGGCTTCCCTCCTCGCTTTGTCTCTTCTCGAAGTCCACCTCTGCTAACCCTTCCTCAAACTAGTGAGTGAGAAGGGGTCAGTCTCGTCGTTACTTCCTAAGGTCTTTGCCTAAGCAAACCTTACTAAAACGTTATTAGAAAATTTCCTTCCTAACACTAGGGACCACCGCGTTAGGCATCGCCGTCCGGTGTCTCTACTATAGTATGCCAACCGCGTTACGTCTCGCCGTCCGGTTGCATACCTAGCTCGACAATGGCACTGCGTTACGTCTCGACGTCCAGTCCATGCCCGGTCAACTAGTGCGTTACGTTTCGCCATCCAGTAGTGACCCCACATACTCGATCAACTGATGCGTCATGTCTCGCCGTCCAGCAGTGATCCGACCATCTAACCTCCCGGGGGTTCATCTTACCATCAACCAACTATTACAATCATACATCCATACATTCATACATAGCACAACGCGTGCCTCCACCTTTATAGGCGGTGGGATGTCTCACACACATATCGTGCATACTAGAAAATTAACTAATTAATAACTTGAACATAAAGCATAAACTGAAAGACCTAAGACATAGATTTTACTCCCTTTACACTCACCTCGAAAAGACGCCTACGAGAGAATGGAGGAACGTGGTTGCTTCCCGTCTGCCCGTCTGGTGGTTGCTCCCTCCAAGCAGACAGCTGTCGTCATTGCCCCGCAGAGGTCACGACAAGGAGCTGAGGGTAGTGATTGATTGATTCTAGTTTCTCAAGTTAGCTGGTCCATCCTCGCCAGCTGCCTGGTCCATTATCACAAGCTACCTGGTCCATCATCGCAAGTGACAAGGTTCTTTAGAAACAGGGTAGCTTCCACAGAATAAAACGCGGATCAGTAGCAGCTAGTTAATCCCTTCTTCACGGAAGGCACCCGAGAGACCCCTACTCCATTATTGCAAAGTTGGCATCATCGCAAGCTATCTGCTCCGTTTCGCAAGCTGGCTGGTCCATCCGCTGGCAGATCTCAGAGTAGATAGCCAGACTCCCCAGACCAACAAACAAGCAGGCACCTCTCATAGTAGAGAGGTCCTCTCCGCAGGTGGGTTCGGGAAAGCAAGCATGCGGTCTGCCACAGAGGGATCCCATTGACGCCCCAGACCATCAAACAAGCAGGCGCCTCTCTACTTAAGCCTGTACCGCGCCCTATAGTTACTTCGCCGTATCCTGCTTAAGCCTGGTCTCAACTCTTGGAATTTTCGTACGGTAGAGATTGGCAGGAGCAGTGTATGCGAAGAGGGGGAAGAAAACTTCTTGTTGCTGAGGTTGCCGTTAAAGAGTAAGATGCCTATTATATAGCAACTCCGATTCCTTCACCGAGAACAATAAGTCAGTACCTCAATGACCTTGGGTTCGGGAAAGCTTAGAGATCCCTTTGACTCCCCGGACCATCAAACAAGCAGTCACCTTGTGGGTCTGCCACAAAGGGATCCCTTTGACGCCCCAGACCATCAAACAAGCAGGAACCTCTCTACTTAAGCTTGTCCCGCGCCCTCTAATTACTTCACCGTCTCTTGCTGAAGCCTAGTAGTAGAGAAGCACGCAGGCAAGTCTCATTAGTAGAGAATCGATCAAGTCCCGGGAAGAACGATTGCACGAGGGGATTTAGAGAGGAGACGGTTTAGGGTTTGCTTTGGTGATGCCGAGTGGGGAATGAGATTTAGGGTTAGCCTCAGTTTTAATTAGCTCAAGGGGTATTTTGGGCATTTCATAAATTACGGGTGAGTTTAATACGAAACTCAACTAACATCAGTAACTTACTCGATTTATGTCAAAACTCGACACCGTTTGAACTCAAAGTTCGCATTTTTAGTCCTCATTGATAATACGATGGAATTTGACAAATTTCACTAAGGGTATAATAGTCATTTTGACTTTTGTCAAGATCGGGATGTAACAACTCTTCCAGTCTATATAATGTCTTGCTTTTATATCCCATAGAGTTGTGTCGCTGTTTGAATGCCCATATGGCTCGCTTTTGGCGGTGTGCTAGTCTAACTCGGCGGCGTATATATTCATTGGATTGCGTGGAAATCATTATGTGTCAGTAAGTTTGAAGGCAGTTTGGGTTTCCGGGATTTCGAATGCTTCAACCAGTCATTACTAGCTAAAGTGGCATGGCGTATTTTGATGGAGCTTACTTCATTCCCTATGGATCTGATTGTGGACGAGATTGTTGCCTCCCAAACTCATTTTCCTTGTATGGCAATGCTTTCATCAAATTTTTCCGACTCGAGAGGCTTTATTTATTTGGGGGATGGACATTTTACCTGTTCGTCCTATGTGTTGTAAGAAAAAAGAAACCTCGGAACATCTCTTCTTCTTGTCCTTTTGCTCGCAGGTTATGGTGTTTGGTGCGCTTTGTGATTCATTTGCAGAGTTGGGAAAACGGTAAATTCATTGGCGGTGTACGACAATTGTTCAAGCTACCTGTGGGCCCCGAAACAGACTATCATCTTCTTCAAGTGGTATGCATGTTTTGGCGTATTTGGAAAAATCAGTGTGGTGTTGTCTTTGAACATCGAGAGCTTCTCCCATCGATCCTTGTGGCCTTATGGTGTCATCAGGTCAAGATTGGAGCAAGCGTTGTTGCAGAGGCCGTTCAATTCTTCCTCAATCCATTTCAGTCGTTATCCCTCCTCAACTTCTGTCTACTCCAGGTGGTTAACCTATGTTTGCTTCTTTTGACATGTCAACTAGGAGTGACGAGTCTGGCATTTGAGGAGTTGCAGCCTTCGCCTATCATGATGCTTAGGCTTCTCCGCTAGTGGCTATTGCTATTTTATATTAAGGAATGGTTGATGCTTATGTCCTTGAAGCCTTGACTTTGAGAGATTGTCTTACGGAATGCGGTCGCAGGGGATTCTCTTCCATTGTGTTGATTTGGGATGCTAAGGTCTTGATTGACAAGTGCAAGGGTGGTGGATAATGCAAAGATTGGTTCCCTGCCACAAGAAGTCTCGTTCATGTTGTCCCAACTTCAGGGGTGTGTGATTCAGTTTGTTGGTCGTCAGAATAACATAGTATCTCAATTAGTAACTCGCAAAGCTCTGCTTTTGTCACCGCGCAATTTAGCGCATTTCGAATTTGTGTCTTAGTTCAAAAATTTATGGGTTTTACTTGTAAACTTGTGATCAATTTCATTCCTCTTTAATAGAGTGGTCGTAATGACAAAAAAAAAGGGACATGTGAATAGCATAATTTAATTGGATTTCAACCTTATCATCATCATCATCAGGTCAAGGTTTTTTTTAGGAATGAGCTTCAAGTTGAAACAGGAAGGAGAAGGAAAAAATGCAACTACATGAATTAGAACAATTATTTCACAGACTAATCAATGCTAAATGCTAAACGGGATTTTTTTGTAGATTTGCTAGAATTTTTGCGTGGAATGCAAGCATAAAATCTATTGCTAACAACGCCAATGGTGGAAAACAAAGAAGATATTTGATTCAGGTTTCCTATTATGAATAGAAAATGTGATACATGATGACACGTACTCTGACTGGTGGCCATTGATTCAGGAGAGAGCCCCAACCTTCGGCAAGAATTCAGGGAACTGAAATGGTTTTTCCAAAAAGTCCTCCCTCCCATTACCTACTCAAAACACATTCAATCTTGTGGCACTTGAAGAAACCAAAAGGGAGAAAACAAATCTTCCTTTTTCTCTTTCTTTTTTTTGGATTTGGTTTTAGGAAGGGTTTGGCTCTGAAGGTCTCAATTCTCTCGCCTCTTCCCCTTCCATGGCTGCATGCTTGTCAGCATTCAGCCACCAACAGTTTCAAGGGTTTTTGACCTTTTACATGGAAGAATAGGAAGACTAAAAGAGAAAAGACAAGATCTTTGAGACCCAAAATAATAACAAATAAAAGAAAAGTAAAATCAAGTTTTAATTTGCCTTGGGCCCTGTCTCTCCAAGGGCCCTTTTTATTTAATTCTCTTGCCGGAATCTGACGACGCCGACACTAAAGGTAGTAGATGCCTCCTTTTCCAACCTTCATTTCCATCTGCATCTCGCAATGTATCATTCATAATCCTAATTAATTTCCATCTTGCATCGTGATTACATACGCTTTAAAAAGTTCAATAAAAAATGTCTTGATGCTGACAATATGGGTCATCGTCATCTTTCTCTTGCTCAAGTTTTTATCTTCATGTAGAATTATATGATCATTGTGGCACATTTCGAATACAAATATTATACAAAACCACATGCTTCTTCAAATTGAACCCCTCGACTATCAAGTTGCTCTTCTTAATGTTGAGGGGAGATTAGCAATGTGCAATTTTAATTGTGCGAGCAAGGAAGAAAACACCTTTGTTGAAGCAACCATTTCTTTTTTACTTCTCTTGTCTTGATTTTGGGGTCCTGGGTTTGATTTTGTGAATTTTGACTTATCCAGAATTGGATTTCTCTACTATGAGACTCTTGCAGATATTATCTCGCTTGTTTAATGAGTTGTAGTTCGGTGTGGAGGTTTCAATTTTTTCCTCAAGCGACATCACCAAAGAAGCCTTTAATGGTTGAAAGTTCGAGAATTTTTTGATCTGGGTTAATCTCAAAGAAATTATATTTTCTCAAGATGTATGCGGTGGGGCGAATAGGGAGCTATATCACCAAGGGAGTCTCAACCGTCTCCGGCCCTTTCCATCCATTTGGTGGGGCTGTGGACATAGTTGTGGTAGAGCAAGCTGATGGCAGCTTCAAGTCTTCACCTTGGTACGTTAGATTTGGCAAATTCCAAGGTGTTCTCAAGGCAAAAGAAAAGATAGTAAGCATCAACGTCAATGGAGTTGATGTAGGTTTCAACATGTACCTTGATCAAAGAGGTGAAGCTTTCTTTATTAGGGATGAAGATGAAGATGATGATGATGATTCTTGTTCAATGTATAGTAACGGTCGTCACCCTGATAGGCAACATGGATGGCGGCAAAGGCATGCACAGAGTCTGGATTTTGATCATAGTAGTTTGGATTCACCAGACTTCGCCACAGAGAGCAATGAGAAGTTCATGCTGAGAGCTCGTTCAGGAGGACCAAGGATTATGGGGATTGTTTTCGGTAGGAGGGCAATGAAAGGAGGAGGAGATGGTTTTCAGCAAGGTCATGGCCATACGAGGGTGAGTTCGCTAGAGCGTGCTGAGATGGCTGCTGATCTGTTGGAAGTCAGATGGTCCACTAGTCTTTCCCCTCCTGACCCAGCCAATGATAGCATTAATGAAGGGAACAAGACAACATCGTTGTCTGTTGTTAACAATGGTGAAAGCAGTTTGGCTAAAGAAAATAGCTCTCAGCAGCATGTGTATAAGGAAGCTTTTGTAGATAAAGTAAGTGTAGATAACAATGGACAAGTTGTTGAAACTTTCGCTCAAATCGTACTGGAAATGCATCAAAATGTGGATGAATATAGTGTTACAAACGTTGGTCTCAAAGGTGGTGATGTTGATGATGTTATGTCTGAAGCTGGAAATCCCAATTCAATAGTTTCAGGGCCAGGATCATCAAAATCTGTTTCAGAATGCAACAAAGTCCAATCCATTACCTATTGTGGGACATCGGAGAGCTCGTTTGTGAGATCGAAGAGTTCTAGTGAAGAAACAGTTGAGACAATATGCATTGCTAGTGGAGGACGCGATGAAGCAAATTTGCTTGCTAAGGCTGTGGATATGGTGTCTGAACAACTACCTGAGGTGAGATTTTGGATTAACAGAGTTCTTATTTTCAATTTCAACCAATCTTTTGAATTTTCTAAGAAAGTGTCATTTTGAATAACTTGATAAATGATGCCACAAGTTTGAGTCTAAAATTCCATACACTAAGCATGTTTACCAAATTAGTCGTCAGTCTAGCCACAAACTTTAGATTTTGAAGTAGTTGGCTCCTTTGCTCATCTTATATAAGTTCTAAAATAGAAGACTTGGGGTTGCTCGGAAGCTAAAGAAAAAAACTGGCATACATGCCTCTGGACATAAGGATTCTATAATTTTCATAGTGCTTTAGATGTACGAAGCCATGACATTGAATTTGATGAGCTTTGTCATGTGGGCAAGGTGTTTGGTAAGCTCAGAAGTTGTATAACTACTGAATATTATTCTCCTCAGTTTGCTAGTTATATATGTGTTGAGTTTTAAGTCTTTACGTTTGGATATCTTATCTAGTCCTTGATTACTTCATTAAGATTGGGAAAAACAAAAGAAGAAAGATAAAAGAAAATAAAGTTGTACAATTCACTAGAGGCTATGATGCTATGTTTGTGGACTCTAACCAGTTTCATCTTATCGATTTTCCTTACTCTGTCTCTTACACACTTGTTAACTCATTGGTTGATACTAGGTGATAGAGATTCGTCATGGGGAGATGGTTAGCCAAGAAACTGAGGAAACTAAGTATGAGTCAGGAAGTGAAAAGGCTTCATGTGATATTCTTTCTGAGCAACAAATTTCATCTCATGCTAAACTACGCAGTTGCAACGTGTTCCAACCTTCAATGAAGTCCATTAATGAACCCAAACAACCAACCGGATGTTGCATGACCAAATTGGTTAGTTTTCCGGCCTGTTCAGAAGGTGAACAGTTCCACTTCAGTGATCTTGATGAATTAAATTTTAGAGAAACTCAGTTTACAGGAAATGGTTTAAATAAGCAATTTGATGGAATCAATGAACCACCTTCATCTGCCGACCATTTTGATCAAGAGAATCAAGTAATTGAGCTTGGGAATCCAATGGGTGTTTCGACAAAAGCCTCTACTCCCATTGATATATCTAATGTTCATTATATTGCTGAGCAAGAAGGCGGTGGTCGCCTAGTTGAATCATTACCTAGTGCATGTTCAGAACTTGAGAAATGTGATGCCAATGGCATCCACCATCCTTTAAGCCATTCGTTGGAATCAAATTCCATATCTCGCCAGAAAGGTCCTGGGAATGATGATTTAGGTTGTTTAAATGTGGATAAAAACAAGGAAGGGTTAGAGCAAGAGAATCACCATTCTAGAGAGGCAAATCCTCTGGTTGGTAAGAGACTTATCATACCTACATATATATTCCCAAATTATATATCTTTATTGATAAAATTCCCAAACTTTCTTGTCTCTACAGCTCAACATAGATTCTAGTATACTTGTTGGAGTCCTACCTATTGAATAACTTGGTAGTTGTGTTATGCTATTCGTCTCATTAGTATGTAATTTTCAATCTTATGATTTTACTATGAGTTTTACCATGAATCCCATTGACTAATTTTATGTCTCTTATAGGGGATAAATCACAATCTCCGGCAAATGCTCACGCAAGCTGGAAATTTTGGCCATTTTCTTCAAAGAAATCAAAACTTAAGAAGACCACTAAGTTAGACAATAAGACCGACAACGTGAAGCCAGAGAATGGTTCAGATAGTAAAACTGACAACATAATGTCCCAAAATGCATCAGACAGTAAGACTGAGAATGGGAGGTCGGAGAGTTCTTTGGATAGTAATGTTGAAAGCAAGATTTCTCAGAAGGCATCAAATGATAAAGTCGATGGTGTAATGTCTCAAAATGGGAGGCCTGGCATTACTTCAGACACTGACAACAAGAGTGGAAGAGAAGGAAATGAGGTCGCAACAAATGTTAGAAAAAAGAAGATAAGGGCACCCACTCCAACATCTCAACAATTGGCATCCTTAAATCTGAACGAGGGAGCAAATGTGGTGACATTCACTTTCTCAACGTCAATGTTGGGGAAACAAACGGTTGGTTATTGATTGTCTCTTCAAAGAGCTTATTTAACATTTCTTTTTGTAGTTAGAACACAACCTTTCAATCTACTCTCTTTCTCAAAACAATTTTTTTTTCTTGTTGCGTCACTAACAGGTTGATGCCAGGATTTTTAGATGGAAATTTGACGATCGCATAGTAATCTCGGACGTTGACGGGACAATTACTAAGTATGTGTTTCTTGATATCATTTGTAGTCTAATCATTCTATTATTGCTTACCACTTAAGGTTTTTGATGTGCATGAGCTGGTCCCATTGGATCATTAAAGATAGTCATGACAATGCTTTTTGAAATACTCATCATAAGAGATAATATAACGAGAGCCTGCAACTGTCAGTTTAATCTCTATCATTACTAGGTTATTGGTTGTTATGGTATTTTAACTTGACAATCACTTAATATATCTCTCGATCTATCTCTTGTTGTTGGTTGAGTGGAAATGACTAGGTGTGTGCTTAAAGGTTGGTCTTTTCTAATGCTTGTTGCAGATCAGATGTGCTCGGTCAATTCATGCCGCTGGTTGGTTATGATTGGTCACAAACTGGGGTTACCCGACTATTTTCAGCTATTAAGGTTTGTTCCTTTGCTTTTTGTCTTTGTGTAATGTACGAGATTGATATGTATGAGTGGTACATTGATATTTACTACTTGGTCCACATCTCTTTTCAGAGTAAAAAATGGTGATTTTGTTTTATAATGGGCAATTTGAGGACGTTGTTATTCATCTTTGGATTTGAAACTCTCAAGATTGAACATGTGTAGATTTTATGTTTCAACGTTGTTTCTCATCATAGGTACAAACTACATTTTTCCCTGAGGTTTTGCAGGACAATGGGTACAAACTACTATTTCTCAGTGCAAGATCGATTTCTCAAGCATATCATACTAGACAGTTTCTATTCAACCTTACTCAGGTGAGAAAAATTATTGAAAATTTCAACGCTACTAAAATTGGACGACATTTTGTGAACAAATAATTTCTCAAATGTAACTTTTTCCTTCTTTTTCTAATTTGTAGGATGGGACTGCTTTACCAGAAGGTCCCGTTGTTATATCCCCAGATGGACTCTTTCCTTCTTTGTATCGTGAAGGTAATTCAATAATCCCTATGTTATAATAAATCATTCATGTCAAGATTTCTCCTTTGTTGTGCAATGTTTAAAAGTTAACTAAACAATCATTCCCCAGTCATTAGGAGGGCACCTCACGAATTCAAGATTTCATGTTTAGAGGTAATAGTTCTGCTACCTTATCATTAATTCACCATTTCCAACACCTATTGAACTTCTATCTTCTCTGAGATTTCCAGGACATCAAGGCATTATTTCCTTCAGATCACAGCCCGTTCTATGCTGGATTCGGAAATAGAGACACCGATGAGCTTAGCTACCTCAAAGTCGGGATTCCAAGGGGGAAAATATTCATCATCAATCCAAAGGTTGACTTCTTAAAAAAAAATTATTGACATATTTCAAAGTTCCGAACTTTTTTTTTTATATTGTATGATACACCAACGATGGCTTTTATTTACAGGGCGAGGTTTCTGTTCATCGTCGGGTTGACACAAAATCTTACACTTCCCTTCACGATCTCGTCGATGAAATGTTCCCCCACCCGGTGACGGTTAGGGAGCAGGTTCAAATCCTCTTTCTCTTTTCTACTTTTCTTTCTCTGTTTAACTAATAACGAGAGTTCTAAACCAGTTCTCGTGTTCTTTTTTCTCCATCCCTGATATAGGAGGATTTCAACTCATGGAATTACTGGAGATTGTCGCCTCTTGGCTCCCATACTTGAACCATGACGGAGAATCGAAAAAAAGACAAAAATTGTGAAAGAGCATTAAAGTTCTTAACTTTCACTGCAAAGAGAGAGAGAAAAAAAAATCATTTTGTGCTTGTTTCAGGGTTCTTGTAGGTGAGGACTATCCTCCTTCTTGCCTTTCTTTGTGATTCCTACTTAACAAATCACATAACTCTTTGTGTTCAATTTCATCTAATGGATTCCTCAAATTGGTTGATTGACATTATCCTGACAGCACAAGGATTGCATAGCTGATGTGGCGCTCCTCATAGCTACACACGTGGGCGATTGATCGGTTTTGGCAGTGAATTCATCCATTTCTATGGAAAGGCAAATGTAACATATGTATAGTTACTTTCTGTCCAAGAAAGTGTAATTTTGTACAAGGTAAATTGTATATACATCGATAAATACCATGAGTGTCTTAGGCATATTGTTGGCAGAGAACCTCATGGGAGTAGGGTTATAACTTTCAGAAAAATGGAAAAAATAAAACAATATAAATGTAGTGTTTCTCTTCAAAGGCCGCTCCAATTTGATCCTCAAATTCTGCACGACCTCAAAGGTTTGGAAGCAGACTTGCACTATTTTGCCAAATGTTGTTTGGAACTATGAATTCTAAATTTGGAATGATAAGAACATATGTATCCGGCAAAGTATGCCATTTTTTCCCCAAAATTTTGTAGCCAAATGCAGGTATTAAGAATGATGTAATCATCTTATCTTTTTTTGGTGAGATGACGAATATTATTTTTTAAGTAACGCTTCCCCACTTTTACCAAAACTAAAAATGGACAAAAGAGAGATTTATGGAGTAAAAGTATAGCATTATTTTCAATAAAACTAATGTTAGAGTTCCAAACAGTCTATCTATGCCTATAATTTATGCCGATAATTTTTTTTAATTTTAAATTTAAATCAAGAAAAACACCTACAAGACATAATAATAAAAGGTAACAATACAAACCACCAGATACTTGATAAATTTTTATATAATAAAAAAATAATAATACCGAACACGTTTGATTGCTTAAACATGAAACATCAATATCTTTTAACTTTTTGTTTCCCACCACTCACATAATTTCAACGACTAATTATACATATAGATATATTTTATTAATTTCCATTACAGCCAGGCCATTCAAACTGCAGCCAGGAAATTATTTTTATTATGGCGATAAGTATACTTACACACATCGTACTTACCTCTTTCAAATACAAACCATATAATAATGAAAGGTCGAGGCGCCCATAGTCCGTACAGTAAACACATCATAAGTTTGCACCTTGGGCCCGGACCACGTCGTGGGCCGGCCTATAGAAGAAAAGACGGGCCCGATAATTCAGAAACCGACGATTTTCACCCCGAGGTGCTTCTGCGCGAACTCCACGAGGTTGCCGATCTCGTTCGCGTCTATGTAGCCGCTGCCGTCGGAGTCGGCCGACCGGAGCCCCTGCCGGCACTTCCACCACGCGAACCTCCCGCCGGCGCCGCGGACGGCGTCGGCCAGCTCCTGTCTGCTGATCTTGCCGTCTTTATCGGCGTCGAACCTCCCCAGCCACGCCGTGAACTGCTGCATCGTCATCTGCCGCTTCCCGTCCGGCGAGATGTTCTTCGTCTTGATCGCCATGTATATGTGATAAATATTTTTCACCGGACTTTTTTAATTTGTTGGAGCTCTGGATGATCGTACGATGTAGAAGGGAGTACTTGATGCTAGGAGGGGTCTCTTATTTATATTAAAATTAAAATTTGGTCATCCAAATTCGTTGTCCTTGGAATGCTACTTCACCAGAATAAATTCTGGTTTTAGTGACGAGACACCATTGAAGTACTCGAAAAGTTATCTTTAATTTCTTAACCATCGTTAATATTCGCGGCAAATCCACGGTAGAGGAAGATTTATGTGTCGCATAGTTGTATCAGTGGCGACCATGGTTGTCACGCCGGCCGGCGTGCCACTGATTGAAACTGGTTCAACCTGTACCGGTCATAAAATCGGTATGACACCATCGGTATGACCGGCATGATCGATATACAAATCTCTAAGTAAAATGATCTTATATTAGTGAATTTATTTGATAAAAAGTAATTTATTATTTATTTTATGTGTTAAAAAGTTAAATGTTGATGTTATTTGTTGGATTCAAGTACAAATATTTAGGTATTGACGTTAAATGTCGTGATTAAATATGAGTATTTGTAAGTTATTTGTAATATTAACCGGCATGAACCGGCACAAACCGATATGTACCACTGGTCGAACCATTCCATTTGCTAAACCGGCACACTGGTACAAACCGGTTTGACAACCTTGGTTGTCACCAAAAGGCTTTTTGTGGTGTACCAATACCATCAGTTACACATGGAAGTTAAAAGTGAAAGGAAATCTAATACTGTTTTCTTCCAACATATTCTCATACTTTCCAAAAAAATTGATTTGATTTTGTCAGTGCTGTGACTGTGAGTGTTTTTCAAAATTAATGTGGCACATATACATCACTATGAAGAAAATGTAAATAAAAGAGTGAACATAGCGAGATTTACTGTTCGATGTGAGCGGGACTACTCTATGGAGATTTCATATTCTCAGAATTGATCTGATTATGATGATGAGAGTTAAGGTTTTAATTTTTCATTTTGAACCAAACGAAGAAGAAAAAAAAAATAATTTCATTTTGAACCAAGAAAAAGAAAAATGGTAATAGGTGGAAAATATAAAATAAATTTAAGTGAAAGTTGCTGATTTGGCAGTGACGTGGCGCGTTGACCGTTAGTCAACAAGTTTGACCATCCAAGATAATGGGCAAACATCGGGTTTGGCCAATTTTGTTATTTTGATGTATAGTTTGGGCCAGGATGTTATAGATAGAAAAGATTGACCAATATGTTTATTATATGCAAAGTTTAGGCCATACAAATATATTTATCCTATTCTTAATTAAATTCCACTAATAATCACAATGATAACAACAAAGATAAGAGGGAGATGAAAACATTCCTGCTTATGTACCCGGGTTTGCTAGTTCGGTTCGTTGGTAGACAAAACAACAGGGTTGTCCACTTGGTGGCAAGGAAGGCCCTCGTATTGTCAGCTAGTTTGTGCTAGGCTTAATTTTTGCGCTTGACTCTGTATGGAGATGTAAACGTTTGATCTATTTCTCTTGGTAATGCAAGCTACCTTTGGTTAAAAAAAGATAACAACAAAAATAACAATGAAATAATGGAATCTGTGTCATTTTAAAAAATGACTCTACAACAATGATATCAGGATGTAGAGTACGAAGAGATAGATTTAAGAAGTTATAATTATTATTTTTAGATGAAACCACATGTTATTGGATAAAACTACATATTATAATCTCTTGTTAAATATTAAGTTAAGTGACGTTATATTCCCTCTTAAAATACACGTAGTCCTTAACTACATATATAAGAGAAACTGTTATGATTCTGAAATTGTGATTTTATAATCACATACGGTAATTTGATCACTATGTTATGTTGGCCCTCTATTTGGTGAACCGCGCATCTACTATCACTTGAGACACATACGGAAATCTAATGCTGTTTCATTCAATATAACTGCATAAGTATTCTCATACTTTTCAAAAAGAGGAAATAAGAATGAAAGATGCGGATATATAGTTTTCAAAACAAATGGAACACCCATTAGTAGGATATATATATCCATGTACCTTTTTCCTATCGAATATATGCATGAACTAAACTTATCATTGTGAAACTTTTTAACAGTCTTTAATTTCATTACAGCTAATTAATTAGTTTGGTGGAAACATTTTTTGACACATATTGCCAGAGTCGTGTCACATTCTGTTGATAATGTTTTGCTATATATAAGAGAGGTGCAATGTGCGGACTTATACTTGATATGTTAAGGTAAATCGGAAATCGTTAGACACCTAATTCTTCTGATTAAATTTGGTACTAGCTGTTGGTATTATGTGAAGAATTGGATTTCGTATCGTTTCAGATAGATATTTCATAGGTTTTATAAATGATAAAATCGGGTACATAGTTTTTTTCCCAGAAGGTTAAATTTGAAATGGAGTATTTGGCTTATCTGTATTGCTCGAATGCCAACAGCCTGAGAGAAACGAAACATATAAAACTGTGACATCCAAAATTAAACTAAAAACACGATTACATATATATCATAAGTCAATAATACACGAGACTACTACTTGCATGCAGACCAAACGGTATAATACACATGGGACTAGGCGAACAAGAGTTTGATCTAATGATCTCGTCATCGATCTTTAATGAGAAAAATTCATATTCGAATCGCTTAAATATCTAACCCACATCATAAGCTAGGTTTAGAATTTCGGATTCGACACATCATCAGGAAAAAAGAAATAGGACACGCGTGGCTATGAAACAGATCGAGAGGGGGTTTGGTTGGACCAGTGGTCAGAAATGGACGATTTTGACACCGAGGTGTTTCTGAGCGAAGTCAACGAGGTTGTTCATCTCCTGCTCGTCGATGAAACCGTTGCCGTCGGAGTCGGCCGCTTGGACACCCCGCCGGCACTTCAACCAGGCGAACCGTCCGCCGGCGACCCGGACGGCGTCGGACAGCTCTTGCCTGCTGATCTTGCCGTCTTTGTCGGCGTCCAGCCTCTTCACCCACGTCTTGAACTCTTGCAACGTCATCTCCCGCTTCCCGTCCGACGAGATGCTTCGGGTCTTGATCGCCATATATATATATATATATGATTATTCTCTGTGATTTTAGAGCTTTGGATGTGTGATGAGCTGAGTTATGTTGGATTGGATGAAAGGGAAGTCGAGGTTTTATAGTGCCTGGCCAAAACTGTGGTGCTTCTCCACATGTTCCGTACACCAAATAGTTAAAGAAACATTAATTTTGTAAGGCTTTTTTATAATTAACTTAAAGTAAAGAGAGATAGGATGGAAGAGATTATAGAGTTCCGATTAGAGTCCATTTCACTAATTCAATCAATTCATAAAAAAATATAACTAATCCAATTTATTTACGACAATTCAATCAATTGATGAACTATGGATTGTTCTAAAGGTATAGTTTATACATTTTACATTCTAAGTTTTCATAGCTAGATATCAATTTTTAGCAAAGAATACACACACAAAATTATGTTTTTGCATCTGAATTTTTTGGAATGATATTTTAGTACCTAAAATAAAATGATTTAAAATATAGATGTCATTTGGATCCATAAGTTTATGAATCTAATTCACGATTCAAGTATCCATTTAATCTAATCTATGATACCATGTCATAAACCAGTTGGTCCCAATAACTCGAGTTGTTGGGAGAAGGTTATGCTGGATCTTATACAGTGCATGTATGGTACTTAACCACTTCCTTATACGCCCCCTCAAACGAAAGCCTACTCATGGGCTTGAAGTTTGCACGTGACCTCAAGGATAAACCAGCTTTGATACCATGTCATAAACCAATTGGTCCCAATAACTCGAATTGTTGTGAGAAGGTTTGTTTAATCCAATTCACAAAGTTATAAATCCAATTCAGTTTTCACCTCTGAACACTAACACTTTCACATTTATGTTTTGATTAATATCTTATCTGTTAATTATATATATATATATGGTTTAGGGTTATTTTGTTTAATAATCTCCCTTCTAACATTTATCACCTTTCTTTCCGGATGAACTTGGCTAGCTAGCTAAGAACGAGATTATAATTAAATCAAATCCTGGACCCTTGTGACATATATATACACATATAGATAGAGAATCAGAACCAGAACATTTTGAAGTGGTTGAACTTGTAAATATTATCATGAACCTCCTCCATCGATTCATAAAAACAGAATCTTATCGAAACCAAAGCTACTACAAAAAATATACCTTTTAGTCACCGTAATTCCCTTCGCTAAAGGATAAAAAACGGTCGTTAAAATGTGGCGACCGTGGTTTCCCGGCCGCTAGTAGCTTCGTCGCTAGATGTAATCCGGGTCGTTACTTGTAGTGGCGACCGTATCCGCACGGCCGTTAAAGGATGGATGATTTAGCGAGGAGAGACTTGTCGTTAGATGACCATATCATGGCCCACAGCAATTACCCCAAAATGCATTTCCTTTCCTTTAACCCACGTTTAATGGTGGCTAACCTTTATTTACTCATTAATCATACCTGCTAAAGTGCTAATCAACTGTAAATTTTGACAAATCCATATTCGACACTAATAAATAATATTATACAATGAAAGTCAATTGTGTGTTTCTGATAATAAGAATTACATTTCTACAAAAGAAAAAAGATAATAATCATAAAAATGAAATATTGAGTAATTCTGGTCCAAAAGATATGGAAAGCTCGTAACACATGTTACTGCCTACATCAATCTTCTACAGAGATATAACTCCTACGTACATAATTAGTCATAAAATCTTCTTAATTACTTCGCATCCTTTATCTTCCTCCATAAATAACCAAATGTCGACTATTAATCCCAAGTTTAGCATCATTACCTGCAAGAGTCCAAAAAAGAGACTTAACCGAAAGAATTATCAAATAAACTAATTCGTATGATGAATCATCAAAATAACAATGGCAAGAGTAAATAGATTGAAGCAAAATAAAATCAGAGGGAGTTCTGGAAACAAATACAGAGAGCAAGCAAAACCAATGGTGAAGGGGAAACAGAGGTGATAAAAAGGCCAGGGGAAAAGCAAACAAAGACATCTAGAAAGGGGCACTACTCATTCAACAACAATCATCCACTATGTTAGCAAGTTACCACAACAAATTAATTGTCATGTAAGTGTTCAAGATGAGTCATCTATACTTACTAATATGTTCCATAAAACTTGAATCTACAATAGCTCAAATCAAAATTTTAACCAACTCAAAAGAAGAACATGTAACAGCATCACTTGCAACACCGGTAGTTAGATTACTAAAGCTAGTTCCAGCACTTAAAAGTTAAAACACCTGTTTAGAGCCTGTAACAACAGTATCAACAACAACAACAAAGTATTATTACATTGGCTATTATGAACGATTAAAATAGAGAGGTCTTTTATGTTCACTTCCATTGGCATAATATTATCTGATAATTCAGTCATGACCAGCAAAGAACAAATGAAAAGTTCCAATCCACGAAAATGAGAACAAAATCCAAACCGGGTCGAAGAAGCTTCATGTCACCATCATCCTGGTGGAAGAAGCTGACACAGAAAGTTAGTTTACGATAACTTCAACTAAAATGTGCCAACAGATATACAAGCAAATATTTATCAAATTCCACATTGAAGTACCTGACTTGCTTCAGCATCCGCTCTTCAACTGACTACATATACATCTCGAGGTTGTACTTTGACAATCACATGCTAATCCTTATGTTTAACTGACGCCATAAGTATAATCCTAAACATCCTCAACAACAATGCCATGGAAGTGCATACTTCAGCCTCCATCGTGTCAACTCTGTCGTGGATGCTTCTCTTATTTAAATCGAGTTGCTCTTGAACTCAATTAAATAGATACTACACATATAGCATAACTTTCCTTGATTCATAAACAACACAAGCCAATCAATTTCAGAAACACACATCGACTGAATACTTATAAGCAACATTCTCTCTTATTGGCTTATACCTAGTGTATAGCTTTAAGAACTTATTCACTAATGGGGTGACAACCAGACTAAGATTGAGTTAACCTTGAACCTTAAGTGTCAATTGATAACCTCATTAAGTGTGTCAAACCCAAGTATTCTATTGCAATGAGGCAATGGGACTTGCAGCCACAAGAGATGTGAATTGGACCTCTTAATCGTAATATCTTTGACCATTCCAATAACCTAGAATGAAGCAAAGTTTGAATTCCTAATTTTCCCCTGCCCAGAAACAATCTCTAAGGAAAATTGAAATCCCACTAGCTCAAGAAAAAAAGAGGAAGCTAGAAAGTTGCAGGTCTAGAAGGTGAAAGTTGGTTTGAATCTGAAACTTCATCTTTGTGAGCGGAATGAAAAGAACAGTAAATTTTACTCTTACCAACAAGAAAATGAGAGCTTTAGTAAGTTTGCTTGAGATCTGTTGATGTAAAAGCAGAACTGGTCCGATGGAGAGTGAAACCGCTGCTATCGGGACAATGACAACGCGATTGTTGGTGTTCTCGCACAGTAGAGGTGGACTTGGGTCGAATGGTGGCAGGATTATGGATAGAAGTACTTGTGAACAACATTCAAGTAGGACTGCGTGGGAGGACGGCGGTCGTCGTCGAGAAGTGTGCTCATGGACGGCGGCTCCTGAATGGTTTTCTTTTATTGCTCTACCGTGAGATCCATTTCTGTTGTGAATTGAAGATAAGGTAGCAGGCATGGTTGTCACGCCGGTCGGCGTGCCACTGGTTGAATCTGGTTCAACCTGTATCGGTCATAAAACCGGTATGACACTACCGGTATGACCGGCATGATCGATATACGAATCTCTAAGTAAAATGATCTTATATTAGCGAATTTATTTGATAAAAAGTAATTTATTATTTATTTTATGTCTTATAAAGTTAAATGTTGATGTTATTTGTTGGATTCAAGTACAAATATTTAGGTAATGACGTTCAATGTCGTGCTTAAATATGAGTATTTGTAAATTATTTGTAATATTAACCGGCATGAACCGGCACAAATCGGTATGTACCACCGGTCGAACCATTCCACTTGCTAAACCGACACACTGGCACAAACCGATTTGACAACCTTGGTAGCAGCGAATGGCAAATGGTCCCTGTTATTGGTAAAGTAATAAAAAGGGTTTAAAAAAAACTAAAATGCAAGCAAAAAAAGAAACTCAAAAAACTTTTGAGTAAAAGTTGGAGCCAAAATAATTTGGACTCCCGCCAACTGCAAATGTCTAGTGCCCTTACCCCATTAGTCTTTTTTCATTATTAACGAAGGGGACATTATTTTATACGAGATGGGACTGACTTCCCCTCGCTAAATGCCTCTCGTGCTATCCGCACAGAGAAGTACGGTGACTAGAAGACAATTCTTTTGTAGCGCGCGCGATCTCATGTTGTCCCGATTTCATTTGCTTATAATTGTTTACCCATAAAAAAATCAGTTTATACCACATCGATTAATTACAAGAGTATTAATGGATTTATAAGGCTAACTCAATATTAATAACTAAAAGAGCTACTTAGGCCTTATTGGGTTGGGTTTTTGGGCCTAAGTGGTCAAACCCCTTCTTCTCTATACGATGGCCGACCCGTCTCTGTGGCCCCCATAGCTTGATGATGCCTCCACCCCTTGGTATGAAATTTGGCTCCCAAAAACAAAGTCTGGAAACAAGGTGGCACAACTGGGTGCAAAATGACCGGGTACCAAGTAAGGAGGTCAACGGCGGGGTATCAAGCCGGCAAGGCAGGGCTTGGTACTATGACATGAATTTGGCTAAGGATGGAGCAAAAGGGGTATTAAGCCGACAAGGCAGGATTTATACCAAAAGACATGAAAGTTGGCTAAGTATGGAATTCCTTGGCCAGGGGGCAGGGCTTGGTACCAAGACATGAAAAACATGAATTTGGCTAAGTATGGAGATCCAACCACAAGGGGGTCAAGCATGACATCGTCCAAGGGGGGTTAAGCACATGCTGTGCAAGAAGAGCTATCACGACCCACAACACATGGGGGGTCTCGTACAAGGGGGGTCAAGCATGACATCATCCCAGGGGGTCAAGCATGATGTCATGCAAAGGGGTCAAGCATGATGTCATGCAAAGGGGTCATCGCGCTAGACCGTGTGGGAAAGAAGGCGAAAATTGGCTAAGTGTTGAGACCCATAGCACAAGGGGGGTCATGCATGACACCGTTCAAGGGGGTCAAGCACAAGGAGGGCACAAGGAGGGTCATGCATGACATCATCCCGGGTGGTCAAGCATGATACCATTCAAGGTGAGTCGAGTAGGACGAGACACAAGCTAGCTGTGGTGGCAAAGAGAGCCAAAATTTGGCTAAGTGTTGAGACCCATAGCACAAGGGGGGTCAGACATGACATCATCCCAGGGGGGGGGGGTCAAGTACTATGTCATCTACCTACCTTGCAACAGGGTGGTCATGCATGACACCGTCCAAGGGGGTCAAGCACTAGGGTGTCAAGCATGATGCCGAGGTGAAAATTGGCTAAGTATGAAGATCCAACCGTCCAAGGGGGTCAAGCATGACATCGTCCAAGGGGGGTCAAGCAACGGATACCAAACACTAGGGTGTCAAGCATGATGCCACCCCAAGGGGGTCGGATCCATCGAACCCCCAAGCACTCTAGTGTTGAGCATGACGTCATGTCAAGGTGGTTTGCACAAATACCACCAAGCGTGAAGCCTTCACTCATCAAACAAGACACCTCCATGGCACAAGGGCTTAGCTATCAAGTGGAAAGCACGCAAGACAGTCAAGGCGTCAAGCAAGCTACATCAAACACCAAGCAGTGGAGCAGCGGTTACCAAAAGGCGGTTGCACGACAGTTACAAGGGATGGCTATAAATAGGAGAAACGAAGACGAAGGAGCACAATGTCAAAATTTATCTTTTCATTGCAAATCAGCTTTTAGTTTTTCGGAGCTCTCACTGAACCTCCACAGGAGTAGAGTAACGTAACTTAGATTATTCCCAAAAAACCATCAAAACATCAAACACCCTCGTTTGGACATTGTTCGGAGAGGAGTGAACCGTGTTAGTTTCGTTGTTCAAGAAGTCTGAAGTTGCATTCATTGTGTTCAAACACCAGTTTTTCCTCGCCGGAAAACAATAATATAAAATTTGTTGTTAATCCCAAAATTCGAATCTTGTTAGGTATTATCATCCTAAACAAATGCTATAACCTTGCATCCCTGAAAAATGTGCTTTAATTTCTTCGGTCTTCACCATTGTTCGAAAAGGAGCTAGGTTTGGCATTTTGGATTCTTCTCTAATTAGGAATGCAAATTCTATTCTCGTTTGGTCCGATCCGATCCGATTTTTGTTCACCGTGGTTCAAAAAGGGAGTTAGCTAGCTATAGGTTTGGCATAAAAACACAAACTAGCTATAGTTAGTTTGCAGTACCAGATTGGAAGGAATAAACTTTTGGGAAAAGCGAGAGAATTGATTAGCAATACTAGTTGAGAAGATGCACCGTGTTTGGTCTCTATCCACAGTCTTTACGAACCACTTGTTGCACGTTACCCATGCACTAGAAGGAAAGGGGGAAAAAAACAGGTTTGATATTTAGGAAATGATTCTGAAGGTGAAAGAACTGGAATGGAAACCATTGCTTTTTCCAAAAGTGATTCCCCGTCTACTTATATATAATTATAGTTATAGGTCAGCCACATTTATTTATATCAACATCGAACTTGGAACCATGCCTGCTTCTCTTTTACACTATCCTATATCAAACTAACTACGGTCGTGATACGGTTTCGCAACTTGACACACATGCAAAGTAAAGTATATATGCATGGCATCTCTCTTGTATACGTACATAGACAATTAAGTCCTTTAGCTTGTAACGTAAGTAATACATAATCGAGATGCTACGTTCTTCTAATATGGGATAATGGCATGTGGAAGGAGGAAGATTCGGTGTACCAATCTACCTAGGGCCGGCCGGCCGGCGAAAAGGACGTTTAACTAGTGAGGCATTAGACAAACCTTTTTTTCCTATATATGTGATAGACTTGGATTTAGGAGACGGGCAGGCAAACCTTTTTTTCCTATATATGTGATAGACTTGGATTTTAACTTCCATAGTTGATGGGAATTGAATAGAATTTTACTTGAAGTATTCGGACTTGTATTTCAAGTGAAGTTTTTGTCTCCCCAGCTTGCATACATATATTGTTCATACAAGCTTACATTAATTATATCATACCATACGTGTTGTTATTAAAGTATATCTAATAAGTAATAAGTATGAACACATGCATATTTTTTTTTTCCATAACTAAGGAGGCCGAGGCCAAGAAAAAGAAACCCGTTACAGAGGGAGGGATCAAGAAGAAGAAGAGGAGCTTTCCAAAGAAGAACAACAACGCACGAAAGAGATTTAATGAGCGACTCATAGAAGAGAAGAAGAAATAAAAAATAGTAGGGTAATTTCTATTTTTTATCCAAATCTTTTTTAGATTCTTTTATATTATCTAAACCTATCGAAATACTAAGAATTGACCAAATGTTAACTTTTAGTTAGCAATTTTGTTGGTAATATTGACTTGTCAATAGTGGCGGAGCCAGCATTTCAAACCACCCCTGTCCTCTTTTCATAATATAAGTATATAAATATTTAATTAAAAATAATTTAATAAAAAATAATTAAATATGAATAAGTCATTCATATATTAAAAATTACCACTATACAATCATTGTTTTTATAAACAACCACGAAGACATTTCATATTGTGAAAGAAACGCAAAAACATTCGTCGTCTACACTATTAAATAAGTTTTTTGAATGTATATCACTAAATTAGCATTAGCAAATTGGTCGCCCAATCGACTTGGAAACTCGTTCTTAATATAAATCAAAACTGAAAATGTTTTTTTTTTTTTTTTACATTTGCAGTTGTAATTCGTAGAATCAAAACTAGTGGAATTGCCGCTGTCGCTAGACAATTTCAGGGTTGTTGGGAAAAAGACGAATAGGCATAAATAGAAAAGAGATCCGACTAGGTCTTTATTGCAATTTAGAATTCGTTTATAGTATAATAAATTAATCTTATGTCAATTTATGAATAAGTAATGAGTTGTGCTGTAATGACAAAAATACTCTAATACTACCTATAAGCGTTGTTTTCCATCACCAATATATATATATATATATATATATAATATTTTTGTTCCTCCAAGACCCCATACACCCCTATTCTACACTTTTGAGTCTCATACGCAGGAAGATTAGTCAAAATTGGCTGGTCAGTATAACTCATACATACCGCGAAGGGAATAGAGTCGCGGACAGGCTCTCGATGCACAGTCTCGTCTATCCCTACGGGTTGCATGAGTTGTCTGCTCCACCGTAGGGTGTTATTTCGATCCTCCAGGACGATGTTATGGGTATTACCTTCGAGTGCCGGATTGTGGCGAACACATGCATATATTGTATGTGTGGTCTATGCTAACTCTATTATTAATTGATATGCATTTAGTATTTGGTAGAGGTGGTAAATGCATTGGATTTATAGAGCAAATTGATTGGTGGAGTGGATTATGCATGGATCCAAACGGAATCTAAATATTTGACCAGTATGTAAGTTTTCAAAATTTTAGGTACTAAAATGTTATTATAAAGAATATTAGGTACCAAAACTTAATTTTCTAATAATAGCTTTTAATTAAACTGTAATTTGCGATTCTAAAATTAATTTTGGAATCTAAACATTTGACCAGTATGTAAGTTTCGAAAAATATAACATGTATGGGAAGTAAACTGTAATTTGCCACCAATCCATAAATTCACCTATCCAATTAGATCTGAATTTAAATGGATTGAATTAATTGGATATTTAATTGAATTAATTGGATGTGATTGGTGTGCTGAATAGGAAATTGCATTGGGAGTTAATCACCTTGGAATACAAGAGTCCTCTTGCTTAAATTTTTACGTATGTCAGCCGGTAGGCATTGTAATGCGTTCAAACACAATATTTCTCAATTAAATTCTTTAGTATTAATGTGTTGGTACAAAGCTTGGCTTGCCCCTCTGAACATTCCTGATTGGCTGAGGACTTCGTCCCCGCGCATTCTGGTGGAGATTGGTTGGAGCAGCTCCCTGCAGGTTGAGAAAAGATGAACGTTGATGGCGCAGCGTCGAGCTCCGACAAGCGTGTAGGTGCAGGCGGTGTGCTACGAGGGTCGAACGGAGTATGGAGGGGAGGTTTTGTTTCAAACGTGGGCTACTGCTCGGCCATCCTAGCTGAGCTCTGGGGAATTTTCCATGGATTAAGTTTGGCTTGGAATCTAGGCTCTCGTACTCTACTCCTTGAGACTGACTCCAGGCTTGCGATTGAGTTAATCGAGAAAAGGGTAGACCCTTTACACCCTCTTGCTACGATTCTTACTGCGATTAGACGTAGACTCGCGCAAGATTGGATGGTGAGGCTAGTTCATACTTACCGCGAAGGGAATAGAGTCGCGGACTGGCTCTCGAAGCACAGTCTCGTCTATCCATACGGGAAGTATGAACTAACCACACCTCCCCCAAGAGATTCTCCCTCTCCTCCTTGACGACAGTAGAGGTATCACCTTCCCGAGATCAGTGATCGACAATTCTTCGGATGTGATTCTGTAATTCCCCTCCTCCCCCCTATTTTTGTTTCTCTTCTTCTTTGGCTGCTGCCTCCCTTTGTCGCAAAAAAAAGGTGCACTACGGCTTTCAAAAGGGCAACCGTAGCTCTTTCTCTTCCATCCCTAACTCATTCGATAATAGCCAAGGTGTTTACACCAAAATAATTTTCATTAATTATTACTTGTGTGAGCAGTTTGACCAATTTAAGCAGTCGGTTCATGTGTACATGGATGGTCCAATTTATCAAGTCGAGTCATAGGAATAATGGATGGTAGTGTTCAACGTTATGTATATCATCCAAATCCAATAATGGATGGTAGTGTCCAATATCATGGATACCATCCAAATTCCATAATGGATGGTAGTGTACAATATGATTGATACAATCCAAATCCCATAATGGATAGTAGTGTCCAATATCACGGATACTGACACGCTACGACACAACACCTAACAATGGCAAAGTGTAACCAATGAAAGGGACTGCAGTATAGTGGCACAAGTAATAAATATCGAATCCACGGGTCTCTGGAGTTACTATTACTCAGCTTCAGTTCATTATCTAGCAAACTAGATTAAGGATTGATTTACTAAACTACTCTACTAACTACTCTACTAATTACAAGTTGGGAACTCACTTAGGTATGATTCCCCCTAGCTCCTCAATTAGGTCCAAGTTGCAATTACCTTTGGTTGATCTACTGTTGATTAAACTGCGGAAGATCCTAAATTAGCTTGTAATCTCTTAACCTGACCAAGCCCTCTTAGACAGAATACCCGGCAGGCTACTAGCCTTCACCGGGATAGACTGCTAAGGCGATTCACACAGATCCCCACTACTGGAATGAATTCCAGCACAAAGCAATGAATTGATTGACTCTCGCACAACCAATTCACCACTATCAATCAAGGAAGCTCTCTTAACCTAATCAGATTCTATCTATCATAGGTTAAAGCAGAAATCAAGAGAATTTGATCAAGATTCAATTGACTCAATAAGTCATGCCTCAATCGATTATAATCAAACAATATAACATCCAAAACTTCATACAAGAAAGATCCTAACATATGGAACTAGGGTTCCTCAAAACCTAAGTGAAGGGAAGTTACTCCATAGAGAAGAGAGAGACTGCAGAAATCTGATCTAGATCTTCAATCTCCATCTCCAAACTTGATTCCCGAGCTCCAACGGTGAAGAAATCCTCCAAAATAGCTCCAAGAATGTTCCCAAGTCGCTCTCTCTCTAGGATTCGTCTCTTGGGTGTTTGAGAACCAAAAACCCAGCTCTCCTCTCCTTTAGCTCGAAATTTGGCTTAAAACCAGAGATTCCCGACTCACACGGCCAGGCCACACGGTCGTGTGACTCTCCCAGGCTGCCCGTGTGAGTGTGCAAAACGCAGAGTTTCGATTAAGTGACTTCAGCCATCCCACACGCCCACGACCCACACGGCCGTGTGGCTTTCCAGGGTGCCCGTGTGAGTTCCCTGGAATTTCCACACGGCCACCAGGGGTCCCTACACGGCCGTGTGGCTTTTATGCATGCCCGTGTGACTTCTCAGCTTCTTGCCAAACATCCAAAACTTCGTCCAATCGACCCCGAACTCGTTCCCAAACCTTTATTCACGTACTAGGACCTGAAATATCACAAACAAGCACAGCCTAGCATGAAATCGGTCTAAAACACGAGAATAAAATCTCAAACGGCCCAAGAATAGGGGTAAAAACATGTGTAATTAATGGTCTATCAGATACCATCCAAACCCCATTATGGATGGTACCATCCAAGATCAGGGACACCATCCCAAATATAATGGACACCATCCGAACTCAAAGTAGATGGTGTCATCCAACAACATGGATACCATCCAAGATCAGGGACACCATCCAAACTCAAACTGGATGGTGCCATCCAACAACATGGATACCATCCAAATTATTTGGTGTGCGGTGACCATCTAATTCCTCATCCATGGTACATAGGGTTGATTGTCCAGTGACATGATGACGTGTCGAATGTTGTTACCAGAAGCAACGGCTAACTTGCAAAGGACACTCATAGAGGAGTTACTGGATGCTATGTGGAGAAGAGAGAGAAGGCGGTTAGAGGGTGAGGCACAACAAAACTTGCAAGGATCTTCTGGAGGAAGGAGAACACAAACAGTCTCGTCAAAATTTATCTTTTTTCTCTCTAGAACAATAGCCGTAGCAGTAGCACCAAGGACCCTCCAATGATGCTTCTCTGTTAGTTGTAGTCAGTAGTTGCGGAGCTCTCAAGGAATCTCCATAGGAGTAGAGGTAACAGTAAGTAGATCGTTGGATCTATGCATCGAACACCCTCGTTCGAACAGTGTTTGATGAGGTGAGCCGAGTAACATTGTTTTCTGTTTTCTTGAAGTCAGGGTACATTGATCACGTGAAATTCCACCTAAAACACAAGGCTAAACTGTGGTATGCAGCCTAGACCGGCCCAAATGCGGAACTGGGGAATCAACGACGTCAAGGGAATCGCATCACAGCAAATATTGGTTGGACACACCCGCAGGGACGAAGCTGGCTTGTTAGTGGGGGCCATGCCCTCCCCCTAAATATTTTAATCTACACAAAACGTGAAGATAAAACACAACCTTGGCAGCGCAATGATTAAGAAGGTTGTCTATTATCAACTTATAATATAGAAAGGTGAAGGGTTGGAATGCTAGGTTTGGCATTGTTATCAATTTTATACTAATTTCCTCTTTCAACTTATCATTAGCTTCTTTGAAATTGCTTGTTTCAGGGTTGATTACCCTTTCTGTGTAAGTTAATTTCTTTGAAAATTTATCATGTTTTTATTTATAAATAGTCATGACTACTATATTTTACGACTGGATTTATTTTAAAATTCGAAATCATTAGTAATTTTGTTTTGAATTATCAAATTGGTAATTATATATGGAAAAAAAAAATTTGGTCCCTCCTAATCAAGAATCCTGGCTCCGTCCCTGCACACCCACCGGAGGGTTGGACGACTTTGAACATAGATGGAGCATCATGGGGAAATCCCAACCCAGCGGGAGCAGGAGGTCTGATACATGATTCCACAGGGCAGTGGAAGGCTGGTTTTGTGGCAAATATAAATTATGCGTCAGCTGCCCTGGCGGAAATTTTGGCCATGTTTTATGGTCTCCAACTTGCTAGGAAGGAGGGCCATCGTACCATTATAGTGCAGTCGGACTCTCAACTAGCGATTCAGCTCGTCAATGATAGACAAGATCCGTTCACCCTTATGCAACTTTGTTGGCAGCGATTCGTCGACAGGTAAGCCGAGATTGGCTAGTCCGCATCACTCATACGTACAAAGAAGGGAATAGAGCCGCAGATTGGCTCTCAAAACAGAATCTCGTCTATCCCTTCGGTGTGTAAGAGGTTGTGAACCCGTGAACAGGTATAACCTCGACACTGCGGGATAATATGATGCGTATTAGTTTCGAGCGAAGGGTTTTCTCCAGCTCTTTTTCCCATTTTCATAATCCCCCCTTTGCAATCTTCTTGGCTTGGGCCTCTTGCTTCAGGACAAAAAAAAATCCCTAATAATGCTGTGATTAAGATTCCAAATCATACAACCTCTTCATCAAAGAATTTAATTTCATGATAAATCATCAAAATAACTCGAATTATTAACGAGATATAAATATTCATTCTTTAGGAGTACTTGTCCCACAGCCACCTGCACGTTATATCACACCATGCACAACAAATACGGATAAGACCAGTTCAGAGTCTTAAAGATAACAATGGCAGATTTTCTTTTGGGCAAAGATAGTAGCAAGCGGATTCCTGTCCAGTTGGCTCGATTCTTGATATCCTTAGGGACTCGAAATAATTCTTGACGCACTTACAAGAAGAAGATAAATATATCCGAAGAAGACAGTCGACCGGCCAGAATGAGTTTATTAGGAGATCCGGCCGGCGCAAATGGGACCACAGTCGGATTATATTCCGGCCGAGGTGGCGCTCTAAGATTCTGGTTCAGTTTCATGCAAGGAATTGTTTTCTATATATATGTGAATACAGAGTACAAAAATACATTCGTAATTAATAGCAGGAACTTCGGATGGTTTGGAGAACAAGATTTGGATTATGGATTTATTGAATCCATAGATTTAGCAAAATCTAATTTTTTTTGCTACTTTTTGTATCGTGGATTGTAACTTCAGAGATTTTAAATCTCTAAAATCTAGAGATATCAAATCTCTCATAATTAGAGAGATTCTACATCTTGATTTTGGAGATTTTCTCCCTCCTATTATATCTCTTGTTTTTTATTTATTTATCCCACTAAATACCCTTACCAATAAATTCTCAATATTTTCGAGCCAATCTAATTATTTTGGTTAAGGATAAACATGTTATGTGATAAAAAATTAGAATTTCGTTTTTCATTCGATGTTAACAATCGTAGTTACCAAACAATGAACATTTTCAAATCTTTTTTCAACTATTCAAAGAGTTAAAATATTTGGATTGTCTAGAATCTAGAGATTTAGACTCCAATTCTCCAAACGAGTTTGTACAAGAGAAGACTTTGATTCTTTTCGGACCTAATTTGGTATATGTCTTTGGTCTAGAAACTAGAAAAGGCGTGTATTGAGCTCTCTTTGCATTTCAGGTTTTATTTCCTTCCGCTGGCTCATTGTTCTAAATCTTGTACACTAGCAAATTCACATAGTATAAGAGCTAGCATCAATGCTCTAGGGTGTTACCTTCAGTTATCTCCATGAAGGCTAGAACAGTTTGCTTTGAGCGATACTTGCAACACAATGGTTTTATGTTGAAGATATGTGTTTACTCATACCGTCATACGTCATAACAATGCTAAGTCTCATTTATCCATTAATATCCAAGCTTAATATGTCTCCTAGTTCATACCACCCTTTCCTAATCTTTCATGTTAGGGGTGACTATTTGGTTCGGACTTTTTGGTTTTATCCGAAACCGGACTGTATAACTCGGACCGAGACCGGATAGCAAAAAATCCAAACCCATCTTCGGGCTTAGATTTGAGGTAAAAAACCATATGAGACCGGACCGAAAACCGGATAAGAGACCCAACACCCAAAATTTAACCAACTCCTCACCCTTTCGGGTCTCAGGCCACTCAAATCCCCACAAGCTCAATCTAAAATCAAAACCAAATTGGGACCAGACCAGTTCAAGACCAGACCAGTTCAAGACCAGACAAGATCAAGACCAGACTGTATCCAATCCAATCTTTGGTTATTATATTCCCGAAAAGATCGGAACGAGACCATCTCAATTTGGGCCAATTTAACCAGACCGGACCGTATAGCCACCTCTAATTCATGTATACACTATCCACTTTTCAGTATGATAGATTGATTGCTCTTAGCCTTTAGATTCTAGATATGCTTCATAACATACACATGTTGTTTAACCTTGTTTAGTGATTCTAGTGGCTATGGGGATTCATTGGCTAAGTGATAGCTCCCAACCTGTAATTAGTAGTTTAAACTTAGTGTAGTTGTTAGTAGTTATTTGAATGCAAACCCTGTTTTGATAGATAACAAACTGATCAATTGGATTCGATATTTTATTTCTTACTAGCACTATAACGTACTCGGTCGTTGGTTACGCTTGGCCTTCGAGTGAGAGTGTAGTTTAGAGCAAGTCAAGTTTTTTGCGCCATTTCCGATGACTTATTATGAAAGGGTAGATTTGTTAATTTAGGTGTTTTTGCTTTTTTTTCTTCCCACCTTTGCATTTGAAGGTGTTTTTGTTTGTGTAGGTTGAATCATGGATCTCGATGACTTCTCCAACATGTGGGGGTATCCACCACCATCTGAATGAAGCTACCCCAAAACTTTATGGAGCAATCAAAAGGTGGAAGTCAAGTATACGGGGTCAATGACCAACCTACCTTCTATGAAGAACCACAATACCCTTGGGGCAAGAAGCTTCCTCATACCAAGAAGACTTCCCTCCACCACCGGAGCTCAAGAGCCCATTGGAGCTTGCCATGGAATAAGTTGAAATAACTTGCTCCAATGTGGTCCTTCCACCAACCACCTCTCTAGACCTACCTCTTCTCTACGGGCATCGTAGGGACAATCCTCGACAACTTGGAGAGACTCAGAGAGGTTGTTGAGCAAGCATGTGCACTACTTGCTCATCATGGTCGACTCTTAGCATGTGCGGCAAAATCCCCGTAAAGAGAAAGCCCACTTATTAACTGAAACTTTTACTAATCTTCATATCTTCTTAAAGTCAACTTAGAATGATTATGTCCCCTAAGCCATTTTTACAAATTGGGCAACCAAATTTGCAGACATGTAAGAAAAAAAAATGAAACGTATATATTACAGAATAGTCAACATCTACTATTATTCATTAAGTTTTCAATCAACAGATTATCAAATTTTTTGTTGGTCACATGTTTGTTTATCGGCGTTAGGGAAAGAACAAGTCTCATAAAATGTTCGTGAGATATAAATTTTGCTGTGTAATAATCAGTATTTTCAAACATTTTATTATTAAATACTGGCTTTCAATGTAAAAAAGGACGAACAACCTATCGTGAAGAAAAATATTTCGCTAAGGAACACAAAAACTTTGTAATTGGTGGAGATGGCGGTGCTTTAGAGGCATAGGCCGAGCCATCACAAGAAAACCAAAATGGAATTTGCGATAATTCTTGACATCGAGGAGTAAATAGTGTGGTAGTCTTATTAAATTCTTAGGAGTCAATTTCCTTGAATGACTTTTGTTTTCTACTTTGAGTAAGAACTTCCCTTAGTAAATCGGGTTTGCATGTTAAAAATTATAAGAGCATGATTTTAGTAACTAAATGATTTGAAATTTTTATGGTATGAAATAAATCATGTTTTGCTTTGGGCAATTACTAATGTTATTTATACTATTAATGAAATTGATCCGGCCAACGAGCGGGCCCTGAACTAGTATATATATATATGGCAAAATACACTTGTATAGCCAAAACTTTGACGGTTTGGCCAAAAATAGCCACTTTTGACGAAATATAAAAAATAGCCACTTCCGTCCAATTCTTTGACAGTGTAAGTTAACGTGCTAACCAGACTAACAGAAAAGCCGACATGTCAAACTTTTATTCAATAAAAATATGAGCTGGAATTAATTAAAAAAATTATAGTAAAATAATTCATTATTTATAATTTTCTCTCTCCCCACACGGTTCTTTCTCCTTCCTTTTCCCCAAGCGCCACTCATCTTCTCGGATTTCTCCCTCCGTCTCGTTCTCACCACCATCGTCGATGAACTGTGCTCAATTCTCAATCTTCTCCCCCGCTGCCATCAAGGACGACGCTCAATTCTCAAGGACGGCAATGGTGACTTCTCCAACGACTTCCAGCTCTCGATTGGTGGCGAAACTTATGAACAATCCGCTGCCCCGCGTAAGTGGCCAGTGATGGCTCCGCCAGCTCCGGCCTAACATCGGAAGTGAATTGAGCGTTGGATGACTCGAAGGAGAATTGCGGGTCAGATGTGAAGCACCCATTAAAATCGAAGGCAAAATCTATAATGAACCGATTCCCATCTCCAACCTCACTTCTACGGCGCTTCGTCTCCTACCCTTCCCGAATCGCACAAGGCGGTAGAAGGTCGAGTTTGGGGAAACTGTTCGATTTGTTCGACTCCTTGTGGGTGTTCAATGTGTTCAACTCCTGTGGGATTTCTGTGGGGATTTGTTCGAGATGAGATTTGTTCGACTACCTGTGGGTTTTCTGTGGGGTTTCTTAGATTGGATTTATTCCTCTAGTTTTGTTTCGGGTAGATTAAAAAAGAGTGGTGGTGGTGGTCGAGTCTGGATGAGAGAAAGGTTTCACTTTAGCAACTTGGGGTTTCCTCTTTTCTATCCCAACCGGCTGTAGAAGAAGATCGGTGGTGGAAGTGGACGGTAGGGAGGAAATAACAAGAGGTGAAAGAAGTAGAGGATTCAACCATTGTCTCCTCTCTTTGTTGTTTTCAAATCCAATCATCTTCTTTGGAGAACTTATTGATGGCCTTGCATCCGGAAATTGAGATCGGCAGCGGCGGGGTCAACGAGAATGGACAACGGTGAGGGGAAGCAGGCAATTCTTGGATGGAGATACCAAGCTGATTTCCCCGATTTAGGTAAGGTTAATTTTTTTTACTTTTGTAAATGAGGTGTCGTCCACCTGTCAATGAATGCTGAGGTGGAAACGAAAGAGAGGGTGAGTTGACAGCCAGATCATCGTCCCATTAATTTGACTAACGGTGTAACGAACGTCGTTAAATTATGTAACGGAAATGGCTATTATTGTCATCAAACTTTCAAATTTCTGGCTATTATTGGTATTTCCACAAAAGTGCCTATTATTGTCACAAACGTGAAAAATTTGGCTATACGGATGAATTTTGCCTATATATATACACGCTAATTAGTTGACTACATATTACACGCGGCAAAAGGCAATAGTAGGTACGTACTACAGGGACTCGTTTGTTAAAACTTAAAACAAACATAGTACACACATTACAAGTACCATTAAAGAAAAACAGAAGCCAAACGCGCCATACGTATCATTATCATTAATTTTTGACGGAGTAGCCGAGCCTCAAAGCATATCTAACGAGATGATCGAGTTCGTTAACGACGTCCACTTTCCCGTCGCCGTCGGCATCCGCGAGGCCGAGGCCGCGGCGGGCCCTGTAACCTGGGATGACGGCGCCCAGGCTGTTGAATGCTCTCTTGAGCTCTTCCTTGCAAAGCTGCTTGTCTTTGTTGACGTCGAACTGCATGAAGAACTGACGGAGCTCGGCTTCCGTTGCAGGAGGCAAGGGAGGATTTCTGCCAGAGATATGGAACGTTAGAGCGACGTTATCCATGAAGTGGAAGTGAACAGCCATAGGAGAATGGAGGATATATGTTCTCTGAAGGGAGGCTTCTGGTGTGGGGAAATAGCCGTGTGCAAAGGTATTTATAGGTGGGGAAAAGTGATTTTGTAAGAAAGAGCATAGTTAATATTTTTCTATTTGTTTGATTCAAGTCTATCGTGTAGTTTTAAGAAAAAAAATCGAACTACATTAATTTTTTTTTATAGCTTCACCTCAGATGAGAAGGAGATAAGACCAAGGGTTGTGCCCATGCCTCTATTTTATTGTGGTATCAAGAAAAGAAAAGATGTTTCAAGTTTATCGTCCAATACTTACTATAAAAATAAAATATGAGAGGGTTAAGTACAAAACTATAATCTCCATTTATTTATTAGATTTGGTATGAATGATCCACAATTTATATATAGGAACAAGGAGGGTGGATTGATAAATTTTGCGAGTTCTTATTTTCTTTGACTCACACGAAATTCAGAGAAAATAAAGGATAGCTTTAAACAATCACACCTTACTTTTTATAATTCAATTTTTCTTAATTGGGTTAGAAAAAATGTATTAACTATGATATATATTTCGTACGGAGTAAGATCTATATAATGATATCTATTTTTCTATATTTTGAGTAAGAAAGTAAGAATAGTTAAGAAATATTTTTCTATTCTTCTTTTCAAATCTTCCCGATTTCGATTATGACAAACAGTTTAATAAGAGTATTTTTATCAAAGTTGTGTCCTGTCTAACCGGTTATTACATATGATTATCCCACCCTCCTGTACTCAAAGTAAACAACAAAATATTATCCCTCAAACACATTTAAAACCATCAACTACGCCTTTCGTACATGGGCATAAACCCCTCATCTTGTTGTATGCATGGAGGCATAATCCCCAAATTAAAGCAACCGAACTACACAATTATATATATCATTATCTTTTGGGTTAATAGCATTTTGTACCCTTTACTATAGCAAATTAACAAACATACCTCTCTATTAAATTTTTACATAAACATACTTTTTTAATATTAAAACGTAACAAATTTACCCTTTCATCTAATTTTCTGTCAAGTGACGGTTAAAAAATATGGGAACAATTACCCCTCATTTTCTCCTAAACACTTTTAATTATTTTATGACCCCAAATCAATTAATTACATAAAACAATTTCCCCGAAGTGTCTCGCACGGGCGTGTTTCGGCAGCCGCTGTCGGCGGTGGTCTCGCCGGAGATGACGCTAATGCTCGGGCAGAAATTATAGGTGGTGCCGCCAGAAGCACCATCAGGAAGCTTCAGTGGAAGTTCGCTAAGCGCAACCCTAATGTGGTCGCCGACACCCGCTCTCCCAGTACTACCGTAGTTGATGGCAATATCAATTGTGTTGTGCTGTATTTTGGTAACGACAAAAGCCCGGTGGTCCACGGCGGCGGAAAGTCGGCTGCTTTAGTTGCTTCACCACTTGATTAACGGGAATGTCGATAAGAACACGTCTGGTGATGGTTATTGCTTTCATGATGACGATTATTGTATGGGTATCATAAATTGCAGCGGAAGTGGGAGTGATAGCAGCGGCAGCTTTGGGTCGTCAGACGAGCAGTTCTTAGCGTGGATTAATAATAATAGCAATCTACCAAATATATAATGACAAAACATGGGTTGGCATCGCCCCATTTCAAATTTCGAGTTGTGAGAGTGATTTTAGGAATGTCATTTTTGTCATTGTACCGAGTTCATCTTTACATATTAAAAGTCTCATTTCAAATTTCGAGGTCTGAGAGTGATTTTAGGAAAAATATTTTTGTCATTGCATCCAGTTCATCTTTATATATTAAAAATGTTATTATAATGAATTGCATCCCGTTCATCTTTACATATTAAAAATGTTATTATAAGGATTCGAACCTTGGTCACTCAAAAGAAGAAAGAGCATTATAACCAACTGGGCTACAATGGTTTTATTTTTATTTTTAGGGTAAATACAATTTAATATCCAAACCTTTCATTTTAAACAATATAATAGCCAAACCTTTTCGAAAATAATTTAATATCCAAATCGTCAACTTTCCGTCCGTTTGACCGTTAGTTGACACTTCTAAAAAGCTTTGTTTAGGGGAAATTGTCACAATACAACTTTGTTTTCTTGTTTTGGCATTGCAGATGACTGAATATTAAGATATTCTATATCATCATGGTGGAGTCATGGACTTCTCGGGTTTGGAACCACGATATGTTGGTGGTTTTTCAGAGAAGATATCGATGGATATTGATGAAGTGTCGTACTTCGAACTTTTTTAAAGTGTCAACTAACGGTCAAACGGACGGAAAGTTGACGATTTGGATATTAGATTGTTTTCGAAAAGGTTTGGCTATTATATTGTTTAAAATGAAAGGTTTGGATATTAAATTGTACTAACCCTTATTTTTATTAAACTCTAGAAATATATTTGGTGATAATGTTTCTATATTTATATTTTATCTTAAGTTATTTAATATTAAACTGTATGTGTAGTTTAGATTAGACAAAATACAAAAGTGTAATCGAAACATTGACCTTTGTGACGAGTATATTCATTTTTGTGACAAATATACACATAATATAATGATAAAATTAGAAAATGAGAGTCTTATTTCAAATTTCGTGGTCTGAAAGTGATTATAGGAAGCTCTATTTCGTCATTGTGCCCAATTTATCTTTGTATTATGAGTAGATTGTCACAAAAATTACTATATGTGTCACAAAGTTTCTTTTTTCGGTTACACATATGTATTTTGTCTGAACTAAACCATGACATATAATTTTATATTTAATGTTTGAATCAATATTACTTGAGTTTCAATTTCACAATTAATCACTTTCTATAAGATATAATAATTTCAGGTAAAATGTCCTTCCTACTTGGTTGAAGAAGCTCTTTCTACAAGATACATTTAACGTTTTAACATTTTCCATTTCATATTTCATAAATCGAGAGGGAAAGTAGGAAGATTAAGTTTAGGACTTTGCTACGGTGACATGCATGTCACGGTGACATGCACTTTTCGATCGACCTCATATAGGATTAGGTCGACCTAATATGTTGTTTCAGTGTAAAAACAATTTCATGGTGCATACTTTGGAGATTCATATCTTACAATTGGCTAGATGGAAATTGGAGATTAAAATCTTGTCTTGAAGCTGAAGTATCCCTCTACACATTAAAGTCCATGGGAGCTCAATAGAAAAGTCCAGAAGACCATTTTTGAACCTGACCAAAAGGCTATGCCAAAACTGGGAAACTGCCTGAAAATGGCTAAGTCTGGCAACGTGTTTGTCAAGCCTACTTTGGAGCTCAATTTGAGAAGCATGGATGCGAGTCAAGTCCAGGGGCCTCTACCAAATTAAATTACGTATTTTATTATACAAAGGCAAGGCATTGGATGAAAGATTGAATATCTATAAGGCTTCAAACAAAAGGCTCGAAGTTGCTACGAAGGCTGTTTTTCTGGCAGCTTGCTTGTGCTCGAAGTCTTCCAGAAAAACAGCCTTTGTAGCAACTTCGATCCTTTTGTTTGAAGCCTTACAGATATCCAATCTTTCATCCAATGCCTTGAATTTGTATAAAAACATACCTAATTTAACGTGGTAGAGGCTCCTGGACTCGACTCGCATTCATGCTTCTCGAATTGAGCTCCAAAATAGGCTTCACAAACACGTTTCCAGACTTAGCCATTTCCAGGTAGTTTCCCAGTTTGGGCATAGCCTTTTGATGAGGTTCAAAAATGGTCTTCTGTACTTCCTATCGAGCTCTCTTCCACTTCAATATGTAGAGGGACACTCCAGCTTCAAAACAAGTCATTAGTCTTCAATTTCCATCTAGCCAATTGTATAATATGAATATGCAAAGTAGCCACCATGAACTGTTTTTACACTGAAACAATAGATTAGGTCGACCTGATCCTATATGAGGTCGACCGAATCCTAAATGAGGTCGACCAGATCCTATATGAGGTCGACCGAATTTTAAATGAGGTCGACCTAATCCTAACTGAGGTCTACCGGAAAGTGCAAGTCACCATGAGATGCATGTCACCGTAGGCACACCCTTAAGTTTATCATCACAATTATTTATCTACTTCATATAAAAAAAATATCAATATCAAGATTTGAACCATGGTCTTTTCAATAATCACAACCAATTACACTAAACAATTTTTTTTATCTTCTTAAAATTTTAAGCATACACCAAGCGAAGATTTGAAAAGCAGAGGACTTTTCCATCACGGTTAGCTAGCCTATTAAATTTTCCGAAAAACAAATTTTAATACGTGATTTATAATTTTTTATAACATATACAATTTCAGATAATTTTAAAATTGCAACCCAAATTACATTGCTTGAAATGTTGCATATTGAATATGAAAAAGCGAAGTAGAATTCGTTAAATTAATATAAATTTTCAAAACTACTACAAAACAGTAATATTTTGTGCAAACTATAGGTGAATGATTCTCTAAAATTTTAGCATGGTTAACTGCTAAACATTAAACCTCTTGCTAATCTGGCATGAATGGACCCAATGCAGTCAAAATCGCGCTTTAAAACTTAAAAACTTACGGTTTTACGCTTCTAGGACACCAAAACGCTTTCGTTTCCATATAAAATCTTAAGGGTATAAAATCGGGACTAAACTGTGCTTTAAAGCTTAAAAGCTTACGCTTTTACGCTTCTGGTTCACTAAAATGCTTTACGCTTTTACGCTTCTAATTCACTAAAAAGGTATTCTATTCATGAAAATACTTATATTTTAAAGGTAAATCACAAAAAATATGATATATTTGAGATTAAAAGATACATATCAAGTACTTGGGTGCATTCTTAGTTTCAATAGAGTAATCTAATTCACCAGCTATGCCCTTCCCAAATTCACTAGCATAGAGGGGAATGTAGCTTATTGTTAAGATATATGTTTATGAACTTAATGTTAAAATTTTATGAGTTTCTCAACTTTAGACATGAATTACAAGTATTTATTAACTTATCTAAACTATGTCCACTCATATTTTATCGTACTTAACACATTTTTCG